CCTTCTCCGTGTGTGTCACTGCTCGAGATCATTTCAGCCTTTTTCGTCTAAGAACACACCAAATTACAATGATTATAATATTTTAAACCCAGATCTTGAGGGGTTTTACTTTACAGGATTATTTTGTGATGTTTTCATCTTCACTAGATGTACTAATGTAGATTAGATTCAGAGTCAAATATTGAGAAGCTGGAATAGGTGGAAAAGCAAAGGTTGTTTAATTTTGCATTCCTGTAACTTTGTAATTTGATATGGTGAGGGTCTGTGTTTAAAAGTAGCCATCAACTGGTATAACGCAGTTGAGTTTCCATTTTATTAACTGATACAGCCAAAGGTCATCACATTCCTGCCCAATTACTTTTTGCATCTCTATTCAAAATTGGTATATTTATATATTTCCTATTGGCTCCACCATCTGCCATCGTTACCTCTGACCCACAGACAACCCCTTACTATTCCTTAAAACACTTAACACTCCAGCTACTGATAGACTCAGACAGGCATGGATGTGCATACATAAAACAGCTTGTCTTACAGTCATTATAGTGAACTGTAGGAATATTTTTTTCCATTTTAAAGTGCCCCTACGTACATCTGCATCAGCTATTGTGTGTGGGGGTAAAAGTGTTAAACCTGTAGTAAGAGACAGCATTTTTATTTCAGAGAGTTTGATTAGTGAGAAGGAGCTCTCGTCTATTTCCTCAAGAAATCCTGTAATGGTGATAACAGAGTATTTTATTTTTTATACAGTTTTACTTCACATTTGTTTTTAATTAGGTCAATTTAAAGTTGATGAAACTAAAGCCTTGGATTTATTTTTTTTGTTCCAAAACCTTTTCTTCTGAGTTGTGGTATTACTTGCATGTGGCCTCTAAGTAATGTGAGCCTACAAAAAAGCTGTGCAGTTTGGCTTTGCAATTAATCACAGCATCTATGTTAATAAATGCTTATTTAGAGAAAGTTAGTTTAAAGCAATTAAAAATGAACACTTGGTGCCAATGAAAGATGGCAGCAGCAGTGGGCACAATGTGGGAAAAAAACATTGATGTGAATAAAACATAACAGCCATCAACTTTAGAGAAAATAATTAATATGAGAAGCTGCAGTTAAGCAAACAAATGCTTAACCCACTGGTCTAATACTTTAGGCAAGTTGTGACCCATTTAACTGCAACCACACAGAAAATCCTGAATCTTTGCACTGTCTTTTGTACAATTTGATGCTAGATATTACTTTTCTATATTTTGGATCCGAAGGTTGCGTAAATTACCCTGAAAGGTTTCCGATAGTGGCTACAATAAACTGTTTCAAGACAGATTATTTTTCATGGAGCTCTGAGTTTAATAGATTTGCTATTAGAAAACCCCATAGATATATGTTTTTGTCTCAAATGTATTATATCCTGTAATATTTTATGTATAGCCACACTTATGCATTCCCTTATTTAGTTACAGCTATTTGGGATTCCAAAAACAAAACGATTGTCATAGGTTACTGACCTATGCTGAGTGAAGTCAAACGCTGATAAAGATTTGGCTTTTTGACAGGTCAACTTGGTCGCCGTCAGGGGGCAGACAGGCACACAGGACTACCGGGGACTTTCCCAGTGAGCCAATTGGTTAGTTGGCTGGTGGTTCAGCCCATGGAGAAGCTGTCACATTCATGCAGTATGCTCTTGCCTTCTCTATCTCTTTTCCGCTACATTCAAGCCCGTCATAGATCTCCTCACTGAGCACCAGTGCAGTGGACTTGCAAACACATGAACAAGAGCTACAGGACCAGCTGACAAAACCCGTCCCACAAAGCCTGGGCTACAAAAACAAACAGCCGCTGCCGTGCTTATTAAAAACTCAATAGTCATGAAAGAAAAAAGCCTCTTCTGTCCCTACTAGGGCCACATAAATTAGATCTCTCGTTTGTGTTTTACATCCTGCACAGTGCTGTGGTTCTAGCTCATCATAAAGGACTGGCCCATGGTGAAAAAACATCCTTAAGCAGTACATGATTTAGTGGTTGCTCAAAAAAAAAATCACCACCACTATCAGTGTGTAAAAGCAATCACAAACAATTGCTTATCCAAGTTGGGCCACTTTTTCAACCAGTGCGTCTCCTGGTTGTCCTGACCATAATTGGCAGGTTCTTGTAATTAGTGAACTTCGTACATTCCTACCTTCTGAAACCTCATCTGAAAGCACTTCCATCCAAGAACACCATAATTACTCCAAAAGGTGCTCCAACAACACTTGCCAAATTTGGACACTGTTAAATTTCATCCAATTTAAGAAGGTAGGATTGTGCAATTTTGTCTAATCTTTTCAGTGGTTGAACTATTAACAAGGGAAGATATGTGTTAGAAGTTGCTGGGATAAACTCGAGTAGAATGAGTAAAAATCAAAATAGTAAACATTTGGCAAAACGGACAAAAGAAGTTGAGCAGAAAAGGGGCTCAAACTGCCTATCATAGAAAAAAATGCCTGCTTTAGAAGTGGGTGATATTGATGACTCAGTGAGACAAATGTGAGAGAACAGAGGCGTACAGTGCCAGCGGCCCTAACACTTGGCTGATTTTCACATGGTTTCTCTCATTTCCAGCCCTGAGGTCTATAACCACTGCAGACAAATCACTCTGCATTGCTCAACCACCATTACAGTTATTTCCTTCTGTTGCTCGTCCTTACTCATCCCTTACCCGGTTCTTATTTCCCAAAAGATTAAGGTTGAAAGCCCAAAGTGGTTCAGAATAGGCAAAACTTTACTAACTTATTTAAATATTTGTTATTGCTTACTTCTTTCTTGAAATGTATTTTTGGTCTTTATTTGAAAACTGCTTAACTTTAAGAAGCCTTCAGACCAACACTTTACCTTACATTTTTATGTATTCCTTATAACACACCTAACAACTCTCTCTTTGTAGAGAACTCATAACAATAAATCTTAGAAAAGACCTTGTTTGGCTTAAGTGCTTTGTAGTACTTCACATAAACTTTCCAAAAAGCTGAACGTTCCACAAATACTTCAAGAAGTATTTGCATATATATATATATATATATATATATATATATATATATATATATATATATATATATATATATATATATATATCTTTGTAGATATATACAAAGAGATATACATCTACCATATATTAATCATGGTTACAAATGATTAATAGTCATTTGTAACCATAACCAACACATTACAATGCCTTTCCCTTTAAACACCAGAATCCCTGTCATCCATCAGGGCATCTGGGTTACAGCTCTCTAAACGCTGAAATAGCATTCATGCTCAAATAAACTTCAAAGTATAGACCTAGAGATTTTATTTGATTGGAAATATGCTAAGTTGCTTTACTTTTTTTTTTTTTTTGTCAACCTCTGGCTATGTGCCCCAACTCAGAGAAACGTTGGGTGCAAAAGTTTGAAAAGGGGAATGTGCTGACATTAGGTTCCTTCTATATTTGCCCTGTGCCACTTGCAGCTGTCTCTTGGCAGGCTAAATATAAAGTGTGGCTTCTATGCCACATATTTCCACTGGTCATATTTTATCTCTTGATAACCTCAACAGTGGTCAGATCTAAAAAGTGTTACACAGTTTCATTGACAAAAAAAAATGATTTAAAATCCTGGGGAAGGAGACAATTTGGAAATATAAAATTTTAAACTGGAATACTCGCAAAGATTAGCCAGAAAACAGGAGACTGATGGATGCATTGTATTAGCATCTGTTTACTTGTCAAGACTGTTTCTCCAGAGAAATGTTTGTCAGTTTTTTTGATAAGATGCTAATTACCAGAGAAGAGCTTGTAAAAGAAAAATACTGGTTCATCTATTTGAAGCATTTAAAAACATGGGAACCATCCTGACAAATTACATGAAGATATTAATACCAACCTGTTTAACTGGAAATATTGCACATTAGAAAACAAACTTGCATCAAATATTTATTGAATTGAAAGGGGATCTGAAAGCAGCTTTTAGAGCAGACAAGACAGGATTTGAGTATTTCACAGTGTTCAATTCATCATCCAAAAATTAACTGCAGACTTACCCAGACATGACTGCTGACCTCCAAGACCTCCGACACATTAAATTTGAGTTATTTATTAAATCTGTATGGCATAATGAAATTTTCTAAAGAGAATTGAAAAAATATTAAACTTCCTCACAATATTTTTTTAATATATACCTGCAGTTGTAGCTACAACAAATTTGGCTTCCAGAAGAAAGCTATTGTTGAATTCCATAAGAAGACTTGTTTTCAATTTGCCACAACTCCTGCAAGGGTCCCAGGTACAGAGATGGGAAAAAGTTGCCGTGGTCAGTTGAGCACTACTCCAAACAAATGGAGAGACTCATCATTGTTTTGAAAGCGTTGATCCTGCACACACTTGTACACAAACATGCATAACCAAAACTGAACTGGATGTTGATTACTCTATAAGGAGCTGCAGTGCTGAAAGTCATCTGTTAAGCTACAGTGGAGAAATATGATGTACAGCTGTTTAGATGTTCTCTTAACTGTTTATACATGTTAATTGAAGCTGGCTTCACACCAAGGTCACAAAATGCTGCTGGTTGAGTTGTTATGAAATATAGCAAGGGTAAAGATGGATTACACTTGACTCAGACATCTCATATGTTCTGATCGTTCTCTAGATTGTGAAGTTACACAACCCCCCACATCCACCCCACAGCAATAATAATAAAAAAAGCTTTTTGTTGTTATTTTTGTTAATCATGGGCAAAATACATTAGCCAGCATGTTAACCCAGAGGCCAAGACAGTTTTCAAAACCATGAAAGCCCTTGCTTTAATACACATGGGAACTAGACCAACTTACAGTTCACACTTGACTAAACATTAATATTTCATGCTTCCCTTCCCTGAGTCTGTGTGGGTATTTTAGCGAGTTGGTTTACTTGATAATATGATATGGTAATGTAGGTGGTTTTCCAGTTGAATGAGACAAACATTTTTTTTTGTTCTATTTTCCACTTGCAGCATCAAAGACTGGGTGTTCCAGATTCAAAAAGACTTGATCACATTAACAGACAAAGCTAGTGGGTTGGAGGACCTAATAAAGGTAAGAGCCTTTATTTTCTTTGACATTGTTATTCGATAGTGCCATTCTATAAATTGATTGCATGGTGAATGATGAGCACCAGCACATCTGTGACCCAGGTTCTAACCCTACTCTGATTATTTGCTAAATTTACTTTTAGCAAATACTTTTTGTTGCAAGGTGTCCTTAAACTTTTTCACTTTGTTTTGTTACAACCCAAAATTCAAATGTATTTAGTTTGGATTTTATCTGGCAGCCCAACACAAAGCAGTGAACCATTTGTGACGTGGAAGCAAAATGTTACATACTTTATAATACAGTTGCAAATTAATGTCTGAAAAGTGGGTGAGTCAGAAGACTTGTAGTGATCCACAGCTTGGGTAGGAGAATTTGACAGGACAGATGTTGGGCATGCAGTCCACAGATTTGCCCAAAAGAAAGACGTTGTTAAAAGAGAATAACAATTAAACTTTGTTTCCTAAATCAAAAACACTTTGAGGGAGACAATTAAAAATGATCTTGAATACACCATCTCTACTGTGGAACATGGTGGTGGCAGCATCTTGCGTGTTTTAGCACGCATGTGTAACCTGGTTGGAGTTGATTGGAAGACAGCTGATGATAAATGCAGGACAAATCTGAAAGAAAACCTGTTGGCACTGCTAAAGACTTTAGATGGAGAGTCACCATTCAGCAGTGTGTTGGCCCTAAACACATGTACTATTATGCAACTTTTAGACATTCCTCCTCTAACACAACTGAATCAAATGGCTGAATTCCCTCTTCAGAGGTATATCCAGAGCCTCATAACGAGCCATTTGTTTGATGGAAGGTGTTGGAGAAGGAACACATCTCAAAGTTTTGAGAGTGTAGCTGCTGAGGACTTGACTTATGGTGTGCTTTTTTTTTTTTAGATTAAAACATATTAATGTCTTATCTTTCAAAGTCCAGACCTAAGTCTCAGAAAGCATCAGTAGCAAAATTTTGAAAACTTAAGGTACTTACCTGTCTGACTGAGCTTGAACTGTTTTCCTAAGAAGATTACAATCTTCACATTGTAGGTGTACAGCCAAGTGAGGAAAAAAATGAAAGGGGTATGAAAACTTTTGCAAAGAACTAAGAGATGTCAGCATAGATTGCAAAAAATAAGATTTCTTCAGATGAAGTTAATTATTGTGTGTGGTTTGTTACTTGGGTTTTATCCTCTAATTAACCCTCTTTGCTTGACCTGATCTGTTGGAAAAGCATCAACAGACTATTTATAGTAACTCTTCATTATATCTGGGGCGACATCATTTCCTTCAGCTTGCACAATATACATACAGTTAAGATAAGGAACAAAAGCTTTCAAGTGTTGGATAAAATTGCATCTAAACTCCAGTATGACGGAATCCACACAACAATTTCTTAATCCACAAAGATAGATGCCTCCAAGGATAAAATCAGTCAACTTTGAAGCGTCACAAAAGTCAGCAGCGAACATGATTATGTTCGTGGAATGACTGAATTAACTTCATGCAAGGAGCATGAAGGCGAATACTTGCATATGCCTCATTTCGGTGCAGGACAGTAGAATGCCTTCCGGCTGCTAAATAATTGGATTGTTTGGCATTTTTATTCCTTATTCTTTTTGCAGGGTCATATTTTAGATACTAATAAATAGTTTGCTTTAGGTTTACTGTACAATGTTATCATCATTAAGGTAGCTTTTATTGGGCTTTGGAGATTGACATTAATCAAAAGGAAAAGCCAGCTTAATCAGAATGAAGCTGACTTTTGAATTAAGTGAAGATTAGGAAAAATACATGACTCAAAAATACATACTACCAACATCCTGATTTTTAACTCTCGCTGGAAGAAACTGGGTTGTTTTTATTTTTATATGTCTTCACTTAATATGAAGTTATCTCTCACCCAGGCATTTCTCCTTTGTAATTCTCTTAGATATATCATAAACACAAAACTCACTTCAGCGTGGAATCCAACAACGCAAAAAAGCTGGTGGCAACGGCTGCAGGAAACATAGAGAAACTGCTAGCTAATCGCTCCAAAGCCCTGAAGGTAAGATTTCCTGTTTTGCAAGGCTATAACATTGAGAGAGCCAAGCTCTGAAGTCTTTGAATCTGTTGTTGGACGTGTGCTTTCGATTGTTTGTGCTGTCAAGTATCTCTCTGAGCAGACAAAATCTGTTTTCTGTTCATTACCAATGAGAACAGGCACTGGAACTCTTCCAAGGCTTCAAGCCATTTGCTGATCCCACATAATCAAATATTGTGCAGATAGATTACTTTAAGTTGCCACTTAAAATTCTTTGCATAGTGTAATGGCTTGTGCTGCTTTGTCTTGTTGTTGTTATCCCAGAGCGTTTGTTTCTAATTCCACCAAATGCTTATTATTGTTGCATCTTTCCTTATGCCTATCTCAGACCACATGGCAGTTTTGGACTATATTTCACTGAACACAACTCAAGAAAAAGGCCAAACTTTTTTCCAACAGGAATAATTATTTACATTTTTTTAATGTATCCTCAGCAGATAATTGCATCAGGTTTGTGCTCACATAAATTCCACAAAACACGTTAATCCATCTAATGATCTTTTTCTTCTTCTCTTCAAATAAGTGAAGGGCATGTCTTAAACTGTTTACCTGAAGGTTAAACTTAAATATGTCATTACAAATATGATTCATGTAATTATTGCTACCACTAAGATTAACTAAGAGAAAGATTCCTTAAGAATCTTTCCAAAATTGAGCAAATGTTTCATCAATTTATTCAAACTCTGCTACACAAAATCTACCTGTAATCAGGCTGCTACCATTTCATCTGCTGTACCCAATAAGTTGAGGAAGTATTTTTTAAAGAGTTAATTGACTGAGCAGAAACTACCAGGCATCTGCATGACTGCGTCATCATTGTGACTTTTGATTCTGTGTATGTATACTTAAAAATGGCAGGAGTCTAAATTGATCTGCACAACCTTTCACTGCTCATGAGGTTAACCAGATCAGGCCGACTAAATTAGAGTCTTGGGACGTTCCCAGTCTCGATCAATCCGGCTTAGAGTGCCAGAAATATCCAATTAAAGTCTGACAGCCTGTTGCCATGGTCACAGTCCCATCGATTGCAACATCAGTCCCGCCAAGCATCCCAATAACTGCCTAGGGAAGAGTGACAATTAGTTGCTGGTGTTGTGTTGCACCTCGAGAGGGAAACACAATCGTGCTGTGATCCCGGGTGGTGAAGCTGGGATGTTAAACTAGAGATTTGCTCATTAGATTTGATTTGACTCATCGGCTGTGCATTTTAGCTATTAAGAAAAGTGTGAAATAATGAAGTAGGAAATTTCTGATGGACAGTTCATTAATTTAATTGTCGATTAGCATCAAAGGAAAATTAACAAGCGCTGCCATGTATCTGTCGTAATGTTGATTTCTCTCCTTTTTGAGTCTAGTATCTCCCTTCCTTTCGTTTTGAAAAGAAGGGATTGTGGCTGAACATGAGTGTAATACAGCTTTTTCTATGGAAGGAATTCTATTGATATCCAAGCAAGATGAGTGTGAAATTGTTCCCTGTGTCTCTCCAGACAGTATACTAAAGATAGGAAGTCGACTGCAGACAATTTGTCATTGGGGTGTTGGCCTCTTGGTATATTATTGTAAAAAGATAGAGATCCATCAAGTAGATCTTTAAGATCCACAGTTCCATGAGGCTAGCAGCAGAAGCACTTAGTTGGTGAATTACCTGGTGTGCCTGGTGAAACTGCACATCTGCCAAGTTTATATCAAGCACAGAGGTCCTAGGAACTGTTGGTTTTTAGCCAGATTAAAATGTTACGAAGGGCATCAGATTAAGATTTTTCACTCAGACTTTTTTGATGAATCAAATTATTTCACCAGTGTCTTTTGGACTTGATTACAGTTCCTGAATTCTCACTTTTGTGCCAAGACTGTTACAACCCATACAACACGTTTGGCCATCTGTCTCATTTCTTAAACTTCCTTAATCTTATTCTTATTAAAATAGTCTTCTTTCACGTCACATGCTTTATTTCTTTTTCTTACACACTGCACGTCTTTTCCTTTAAACTTTCCCTCAATCCTGTTCTGTTGGCTGTATTGCCTGTGACTTTGCGTTGCTTCTCCCATAACTTCAGCCTGACTTTCTGTCACACTTAATTCCAGTTTTCCTGTGTTTGTTTTCCCTCCCTTGTTTTTCCTCCATCCACTTCTGTCCTTCCTTATTTCTTCTTTGGGGTGTGTGAACATGCATGTCAATGTTGTCTTTTTCTCTTTTTCTCCATTTCAAACTGCTTTACATTTTGAACACTTTGAAGTAGAATGCTTCAACGAGACAGAGGTTATATTTTGGTGGTACAAACTCTTCAAAATTTAGTTTTTAATTGTGGCACTAAAACTGACAACGAAGTAATTAATATGCAAATTTTATGTAATGGTACATAAATGTATCTTGCCAGTGAGGACACATCATTCAGTCCAATTTGTTTTAAATCTCCCCTTGTTATTAATGACCCTTAAACAAATACTATGCACACAATAAAATGTTTATATTTATATACATATAAACTGTATTTGGATATCTTAATTTCTGTGTGACCTTGACTCTCTTCCTTTTTAATGGTGTGCCATTACATAAATCTTTCACAGCACAGCATAGGTGCGATTAATAGCCAGAGACTGTGTGAACCACTATCACACAGTCTCGACCAACAGACACCTTTTTTATTACAATTACTCAGCCTTCTTTTTTTAAACCTGGCTCATCAAAAAATAGACTCCTTCTGATATTCAGTTCACCTCTAGCTCCTCTGGCTCTCTGCTCATCAATTATTGAATGGTTCTTCTTAACCAACAGCCTTTGATGGAGCCGGTAATGTCTCCCTGTGGAATAGGTCATTCTTTCTTCCACAGTGACTCCGGTAGAAATCTCTAAAAATGTTTGGCAAGTTGTTTGTTTTTTGTTTTTTAATGGTCACAGTTGCTATATTTCTGGCTTAGAGACGTCCCAATACATGTCTATTTTCTAAAAATGACACTGTCCTTTGGTCAGCCACCCACACTTAGGATTTTCTTTTATAGTCTTTGTGTCTTCTGTTTTATAGTTTCTGTGTCTGAAACCACGATTTGTACTTTGTTCCCACCTGTAGCTTTTTGCTCCTTGGGAGAAAAGTAGCACTTGTTGCAAATTTAATAATCCTATTAAATGATCATTAGGAACTTTAACCACCTCTTACCACCTTTTGAAATTGACAGAATATCAGTGTGTCTATTTATGCATTAAATTGTCCACTTTTGGATAATTTAATGCCTTCCAATTAGTCTCATCTACTCTTCTCTTTCGTTTAAGTCTTCTTTTCAACTATGCCTAAGAAATAGACAGACAACGTTGCACCACAGAACAGACTGTGAAATTTGAATATCGATTGCCCAGTTATTTCAGGCCTTGGATTGCATTAGTAGTTTGGCAGCAGAGTTAAAAGGCTTTGGCTGCCCACCAGAGACTGAACCACAATTGATATCCCTTTATGGAAACAGAAAAACAGTTATTTTTCAGCCTCACATTGCAAAGGTTTGAATCCCTGGAGTGATTCTCCATCAAGAGGAAAACCAAATTTGCTTAATTGAGAGTGGGTTTAGTTTGACTTATAACTGCCAAGAAGAAAGACGGCCTGTGCTACACTGGGACTGTTGATGAATAAATGGTCTCTGGGAGATTTTGGTCTGCAGAGGGCATGGACCATGGATGCAGTAGGTAACCATGACACCCTGGTTGCTTAGCTACAAAGGGGATCATAAACAGATGCCCCTCTTTCAATGTGAATAATTTTTGCTTTGCTGCTTTCTCCGTTATCAAATTTTGGTTTTAACACTGGGCAAACTAAGTGAGAAAACTGTCATTCGAGTACCCTCATCAGTCTTTTTCATGTATAAAACTCTGAATTGCTTGTTTAGGAGCTTTCATGCTCATTAACTTGTCTGAAGAGGATGAGAACAACAGTGTAAATAGTGGAATAGAGCTTTTTTTGAATGTAGTGGTGTGTAATTATGGAGGAGACACTGATCTCTAGTGTCTACAAGTGTGTTATTAGGCTGCCACTTGATGACATGGTGTGAGTCATTAGCCTCTGCTGTTAAACTTAATAACCGAGTACAGACTCATGGATTCATCTATCCATTTACAGAGCTGCAATGAAGTATTCTCTCTTTTGAGGGATAACCTTTTGTTTATTACATGTTTTTGATAACATGATTAAATGCAGAATTTAATTCTCTCTATCAACTTCACTGCAAAAGGTGAAAAATACTTAAAAGATTGTGTTACTTTATCATAATCCTCAAACTGTGTAAATGATACTGAACCATAAGTTTAGAAAATAAACTCTTGTCTACATGGATCTCCAGTGAAGTAACTGACTCCATGAAAGCTTTTACTGGGACCTCAAGGTACCACTTGAATTGGATTTTGATGTTCTCGATTTCCCTTTACCAATAAATCAACCAGAAATCAGTATCAGCTGGTTTTTCCTTGCTCAGGGAATGACATGATGCATAGCTGGGAATCTTTTTCAATAAATGCATCATATCTAAGAGCTACCATCATCTATTCTTTAGAATCATACCAACCAACAAACTTTGTTTCAAGGCACCTTTTTGATATTTATAAATCTGAGGTGCTAGGCTGAGTCTATGAGGCAAACTTTCAAATTTAATTATGCTAATCAGATGCTCCCAAAAAGGAATATTTTGTGTTGATACTGTGCATGACCTTTTGGTCACGACTTCTACCTTTCTCTTTCAGCACATTTTGTTCTTGTTGTCTTCAGAAAAGAAAGAAATCCAATTTACTTGTCATACCTCGAAGAAAGTTTGAAGTCGGTATTGTGGAGAAAAAGCCAAATGAGGTTGTATCTAGTTTGGCTGATTTCAAGTTGGCTTGCGCTTTACTCAAAATAAAAAGTGTGAAATTACACATCTCTTTAAATTTGACAGGCAATTACCAGGCATTTTTCTAGCAAACGGCCCTTGATTTGTTTGATAATTAATGGTCCAAGCTTATCACTTTCCCGCTATGAAAACATACATCTGGAGCTTGAAAGTGTGCTTTAGAAATTGAGCTGGTTTTGTGAGTGTGTGTGCGTCTGGCCACCGGTGACTCATTAATCACCACTTCCTGGAGCGTGTGTGTATCGGGCTGCTTTTGTCAGTACAGCTGTTGGACTCTGTGTGTGGCTTCCACTGAACCTACTTTTTGTTTGTCATCTCTGTTTTCCTACATGATGCTTATCAGACATACATTATGCACACAAAGAGGGGCGAGTGTGTTTGATGTCTCCCTTATTAGAGCTTAGAGCTCACTGCCTTGCTCACGCTTCTATTTTCAGTCCCATTTAGCTGCGGACGAGAAGACCTGTGCTTCATCTTGTGCAAACAAAATTACACTCATTCATTGTACTGCTCACTTAATTTCCTTTGAAAATATATTTGATTTCAATGATGGGTGCATCAATAATGGTGAGATATCTGCCACAAATTGATGATTCTCTCACCTGTTGCTGTAAAAAAGCAGTTTTTCAAATGTCAAGTTGGTCGCAAAGTTATCTAGAATCTTAATATCTTGAGATTAGCACGATAAACCAAAGGAAAGGTGTGATTATTATACAATGCATTGTACAGTAGCAGCCTGGGTGTTGATTTTGGTGCACAGAGCTGCCACGTAAACACACCAGCTGGGTGCAGCTGTTATTGGGTCTCATTTGCAGCCAGCTGGCACACAGATAGCACAGCACCCCTTCCTTGCTGAGTTATCAAACCAGGGCATGATGACCAAACCAACATCCATTTCTAACAAGTGGCATTCTGCAAAGCTAGCATGTTTTAATGCTTCTTTCTCTGTGTAAAGGACCAATGCTGCTGGATAATTTGTCGTCATGCATGTATTTACTGTACAGTTGTTTTCCTTCTGTTTCCATTGTATGTGCCTTTGTGTGATGTGTGCAAATGTATTTCCCCCTTTCTTTGGCCCACCTCCTGCTTACCCCACCTTCAGTACTTCCCTCCCAGCTCCCCATGGGCTGAGCAGGATAGATCTGACTAAAGTGGTGCCAGTCACAACACCAGATGCTCATGTTTCCTCTGCTCTTCCATGCCTCCCTGCATATCAGTGGGGTGGCAGGTGTGTCTGTGTGTTTGTGTGTATGCGTTCGCTCCTGGCTGGACTAGACACTTTAATCAGGGTGATGGGAGGGTGTGTGTTTTATACAGTACCCGAGTGTGGTGCTTGCAGAATATGAAAATCATAGGAGCTAGACCATACACTGCCCCTGTGATTTTATCTGAAATCATCTTGGTTAGCTAAGGTGTTTCTTAAAAATTAACCCCATTCATCCATTTAGATGGACGTGATTATTCAAATAATAATAAATTAAAAAAAAACTCAAATTAGACAAATGCTTCCTTCGAAACATCTCAAAAGTTGCTTTTGATCATTAAAAGGAATCATTTAACCTCTAAGATGCTAATTAAGGTAAAACTAATTAGGAAAAAGAAAATGTGGTAGATACACAGGAGGGTTTACTCTGGTTCTTTACTTTGGAGTGAGTTCACACATAGTTTGGCACTCTTTTAGGCTTTACCCACACAAACTGAAGGATCATCCTTTCTGTTGCCATGGTCTTCATTATATCATTGCACCCAATTTTGATAATCTCACTCTTCAGGTTTGGATCCAGGAGGATCCACCAGTGTCCATAAAACTGTCAAGGTCAATAGTTGTGTTTACCATCATCTACACAAATGAATTGGTCTATGCAATTAGTCTATGGAAGTGACTGAAATGAGCATACTAAATATGGCGACTAGTGTTGAGATAAGGATCCTGTATCATCTGGTGGGAGCCATAAGTAGACCAGCTGATCCTCCTGATTGAAGGAGTCAGTTGAGGTGGGCCGGGTCTCTGATTATGAAGAACACCTCCCTTTAGAGGTTTTCCAATGAACTTCTAAAGATAGATTAGAAAAGAAACCACAACTTGCTAGACGAGCCATGTATTTTCCTTCTGAGTTGGGAGCATGCTGGGGTTTTCCAGAATAGACTGCGGAGGGAGAGGGCAGGATTTTCCTCCTTGACCTCTTAGCTCTCGTGATCTGATTTCTTTAGACCTAGATCTGGAGCTGCTGCCTCCATGACCTGATCTCAGAAGAGCAATAGATGGATTGATGGATGGATCTTGGGCATAAAACTACACAGCATAAACCAGGCATACATCAATATCCACTTGTAACATTGTAATCTCTTAATATGCACTTTCTAGAAAGTTCTTCCTTGCTGCCAGTTTTAAGATTTTTACCTGTTAAGTACTTCTGTCATTATTTATATCACATGTCATTTTATTTCATGTGGCTTTCTCGGGTGGAATCTCTGTAAAATACTGGAATGGACATAATGGAGTAGCTAGAAAGTGACAGAAACTAAACCAGCTGCTGGCCTTTGACCTCTGAACCTTTTCATCTGCCGCTCAGTTCCTCATTAACGTGCGTCTGCTTCTGGGTGCAGAAATTAGTGCCCAGGTGTGTGCATGTGTGAACAGGTGCTTGAAATCTGAGATGACAGCTCTGTGAGCTGAGGACTGTTGACGATGAGGTCAGTAGGTCCTGTAAATATTCCATCTGCAGAGAACTCACTTTGAGTAAAAAGAACAATGAATTTGTAATTAGATGGGTACACCGGAGTGGCCCTTTTTTTGAATATGCTTTGATTCATTTGATCGTGAGAGTTTTCATACCATCAAGAAAACTGATACATTTCTTTGTGTTCCCAAACTAAATTTGGAAATGGATTGTTTGTTTTGTTTTATTTCTGTATCAATTTTATCTGATTCCTCTCATTTGGCTAGTAAGAACAACGATAATACCAATCAATCGTTTGTCTTTGAATTATTCTTGAGTTTGAAAAAAAAGTTAAAGCACAATTCTCATTTGGCTTTGGCCACTTGCATTTCAAACTGGAGGAAGGAATTTTGTGTGCTTTTATAGGTCTAATAAAAAGACCACCATTTCCCCAACTGTCAGCACACATCTTTCTCAAAATATTAAACAAGCTTTTGTGTGGTTACAGTTACGGATTCCCTTCCCCCCACCTCCACCCTTGCAAGACAGGAAAACACAGGCATATGTGTACCAATAACACAAATGTAAAGAGAAATGAAGCTGAGATTGTTTTTGAGCTAACCTGATTTCAAATGACAATAGCATTGGCCCTCAGCATGCTCTATGAGATGTGAAATGATGTCAAGCCAGATCTTTGGGGAATAGGGAGGAAAATCTGCATTGGCAGTTGCCTCTGAGCCAATAGACAATTCAGTGAGGAAGTCATTTTCAGCAAAGAAACAAAAAATCTTGATAGGGTCTCCATATAGGAATGATATATTTGTAGGACATTGATCAAGTTATGTATTTTAAAATATCATTCAGTAATTAAACTTAAAGTCATAATACATAAAATTAAAATGTCAGTAAAACAATATATTTTTGTTTTAACAGAGATGGATCACGTTTTTCCAAAGTGCATTTTACAGTGAGGCACAGCAATCAAAAACACTTTGATTGCTGTGATTGCCTTAATTTCAAAGCAAAAACTATATCAATAATTCATTAAATTAATCCCCTCCACCCCGCACTCTCATTTGATGAGTAAATTTGTTTCCTCATCAGATTTCTTCTTTCTGCATGACTTAATGCCCTTAGAGCCATGCATATCAAAAGGAAGAGATAGATTTCATATTTCCCTGGGGAAATTAATAGTACAGTGCATTTCTGGACCAGGTACAGATTAAAAACTGGGCCCATAATAAACCCATTAACCTAGTCATTAGGATCTGGGGAAAGATTGAATATGTGGGTGTCTAATTTTAGAGTAACACTGACATCACTGGTTCTTACAAATGCCTTTAGGAAGGAAGATATTGAATGCACTCTCTTGAATTTGTGATTTGTGGCCAAGTTCAGGGGCCATGACATCAAATTTTATATTTAATTAATTTCATGATCACATCTTTGACAGTTGTTTGTTTGCTTTTCCTTTTTTCCTCAAATAAATTTCCAAAACCATCTTTCTTCCACTCTTTTTTTTAGAAACTTGCAAGTGAGGCCGAAAATTTTCAAAAGGCACATGAGTGGACAGTCGACGGTGAGGTGAGTGTGTGGGACCGGCCCGATCCGATAAGCTCATTAACACACACCCCTTGTTACATACAGATCAAGTGCTGCAGTAAGCTGCATGTGCAGAGTGAGGAGAACGATGTTATCTAATATGATTGTAGTAATTTTGCAAATCTCATTACAGAAACAATTGTATTTTAATAACTGTCGAAAGGATGGCATTTCATTACCACTCCTAACAGCCGGAAAGAAGCAGACCTGGTCATAAGGAACACTAATACACTACTTTGTCTCTCCCAGTTTTCATTACTCTGAGTATTAACAGTGCATTAAAAGGGAATTCACAGCTAATGTGAAGTCATGCTTGTTTTACTCGTTAAGTCACAATGACTGACTGATCGCACAGTCGTTGGTGGTTTTGGGGGTTTCATGTTGGTTTTTTAGAAATGCCATTTTATTGCAGCCAATTAACAAATGAAAAACAGTGAGTGTTCATTTAGTGATGGAGCGGAAAGAAATTGAATGCAGCCATTAAAGCTTTTAGGTTTAACCCCCCCACCCCCAGTGCTTCCAAATCTTAATGACTTTATTCCATTAAACATTTTGACATTGGCTATTTAATATCATGCATATTTTGTAGTGTTGAAAGAAGCTGAAGTAAAAAAAATATATCTCTAGTAGACTGACTGATTTACATGTTACCTAACTCAACAGATTTGCTTTCCTGGCAAAGTACATACCTTTGTGCTTAATTAACTAAAATTGTCTGACAGAGTGATGAATTCAAAACCCCACAGTATATTTGTCTGTGTATTATGAAATGAAATAACTAACTTTTTCAACTAAAAAGCTTTAAAAAAAAAAAAAAAAAAAAAGGCGGTAGTTAGGTAGGTAATTTTAAATCTCATTAAATCAAAGATGCCAATAAAAAGTTTCCTGATAAAGTTAAACGTTTGTTACTTTATTTGAGGGTTATTGGAAAACTGTAATTGGATTAACAGTGTTTCCAGTGCTCATGGTTGCATTTTTTTAAAACATAAAAATCAGTTTCCAACAGTAAAATTTACAGTTAACAAAACTTTTACAGTACTGTGGAGCATTACTTTTTTATGTTTTACAATGGAACAAAGTAATTTACCCCTATTTCTCTCCTTTGGTTGAATAAAGGTTTTTACATAAAAATAGACCCTAATTACCTGAGTCATGACCTGAAAATTGTAAGCAGATGTTGTGTTTGGCTTTAGTTTGATTACAAAACTAACTTAACAGCGGCAGCAGTGCTTGCCGTCCTGTTGTTGTACGTGGCTGTAAAGTAAGCAGACAGGTGGTGGGAGTCAGTGAACCGTCTTTGTTGCTCTGGGGCATTAGAATGTCAACACTGTGGCTAGCTTGTGCAAAATAACACCACTTCCCTCCCTGATTCATGCTGTCAGTACAGGGCCCTACAATATAAAGGAGAAAGATGTTTATAGGGGTAGTATTATGTTAACTCTTCTTTGTGTGTGAGCTTTATGGAGTTATTGTGTCATTCATTCCTAATCTCTTCCTTTCTGTCTTTGGACCACTTTGCAGCCCAACAAACTCAAGTACTACAATGCTAAAGACGGCGTAAGTACATATTAATTCACTTTTTTAGCAGAACACATTGTGTATATTAAAGGTTCACTTTGGTTCTGTCAAAACACAAATATTAATTTCTCTTGAACTATTTCACGATTTGTTTTGGATATTTTTTTTCTAATGCTGTGCATATTTGTGACTGAGAGGAAAATGATGCATGTTTTTGAATAGTCAAATTTTTTCCCCTAAACAAAAATTCATTAATGTGCAACATGTTATGCATCCACTCCCTTTATGTCAAACCTTTTGTTCACGGTGCAAATACAAATGGAAGTCTTTGTAGCCATGTCTTTTTTATTTTTTTAACTGAACAGTTAACATTTGAATTCCTTTGTACAGGTAAATAAGACCGCACTGAAAGAAAAAGATAAAGACAAAGAAGAGGACAGGAGCAACAGGTTCATTCCAGAGGACTTTGAAATAGACCCCGACTTCAAACGTCTCGTCTCTTACAACACCACTGCCGTCCACATCCCCACTGACATATATGAAAGCTGTAAGTGGAATAGAATGAACTTCATTGTAAGAAAAAAATATTCATAAAAATTTATTTGATAAAACGAAGCTAACAGAAAAATGGGTAAAGATAAATTACGATGCAATAGAAAAATGTACTATGGGTCAGACTAGTAAGCCTCTGCCTGAGCAGTTGTTCAGGTAGAGGAACTCCTCCCTCATTTTCGGTAGGTGGTGAGAAAAATTTATTTTTGCTTTGCCAATATTTTTTGGTGTGAAAACATCAAGATTCTCCCTGCAATCCTGGATGTTTTATTGTCATTGTATTTTCTTTTTTTTTTGACTGAACTGATTCACCCGCTTGTCACTCTAGTGTGAAAATAAATTCTCTTCCTTGTGAGATAATTTAATTAGTCCCACAGCACGCAGTAATGCAGAGGAAACCTAACGGAGTGAAATCTAAATCCATAACAAATATCTCACTGGCCATTAATCAGAGAAAATCTGGTTGTGGTTGAGAATTGTATTTAATGACTTGTACTGTACTGTAAGATTCAGTTTAGTGGGAGACTGCATGCTGGCCAGACCTGATCAACTTGCAGTCACACCAGTGTTAAATATCTCTGCTTGTGAGGATTTCCACTCTGCTCTAAGAAATGGCATTCTAGTGACCATTCTTGAGGATAAGTCTTGCTTAAATGAGTTCAACCAGAACCAACATTGACCAAAAATTTAAAACGCAAATTATATCCTACTGAGATATCCAGTCACAAAATGTAAGGGCTTAGAGACAATTGCAGTGGTTAAACTATGAATGTTCCATCATCAACAACATTAATATTACGTTAGATGTAGAGATGTTTGGTATTTGCACATACATGTCAATCACCACTGCTTTTGTGATAGAAATTAGTTTTGTACAAAGCACATAATTTACATGTTATTATAGGAGACTAATGCAAAACTAACAGAGCTAACAAACATGTCACATTCTGTTGATTCTGTCATTGAATGATTATTGAAGGTGCCATGTTTACAATGATGGGAGTGTCCAATTCAATCAGTTGGGTCATTCATATAAAAGTACAATTGTTAAATATTAATTTTATTAATTTCTAGTTATCCATTTTTAAGCGTGAATACAATATCTCCTGGTCTATTTCTATAATTGGTATAGAACATTCCCATGCATCCTGTTTTCACTACGGTCACCATCTACAGGATACTTCAATGATGAAGCGCTCAGCCTTTGAGCACCATCTGCATTGCAGACAGTTGAAGTATTCTAGTCTATATATAGTTCAAATGCCATCCGCCCACTGGTCAGCACACTGGCCCCCTCTTTACCCTGGTCACCAGCTGCTCCCTTCCCTCATGCTGATCACGGACTCCACCAACATTTCTTGATCTGTTCACAGCATGTCAGCACACCCAAGACTGATCCTCTTTGAAGAAGTGCTTGTGAGAAGCATTATGATATTATTCTGTGTTTATCTCACAGCTTAGCCTTTTTGCTTTCTGTTTCTACAGTCTTTAAACATTTCATTACTCCACAACTTTTCCAATGAAATTGTGAGAGTCCTAAACATAGATACAGGTTGTCAAGATTAATCGCCTAACTTCTCAATTGGGGCTCACAACAACAGCTTCAATTCACAAACCAAGTAGAACGTTTTTTGTGAGATAGGCAATACCTTTTACATTTATTTTTGTTTTAGAGATCATCACAGGAGCCAATTTGATTTTTCCAACCATATGTAGTTTATACTTCTGCGAACAAACATTTAATTCAAAAGCTAAAATTAAAACATTTAAGCATTTTTATGTGATGTTATGGGTAATAGAAAATGTCATACTTGTTGGAAAAGGAGATGCATCCTGAGGTGGTTAGTCATATACTGCATAAACTCATAAAATCGTTTTAATTGGTCGATTCCAAGTCAGCCAGAATGAACCTTTAAGGTGATGCAACAGCTTTTTAAAAATGTTTAGGAATTCATTAGCAGCAACAACTTTATAGAATTTCATTACAATAAAGTAGATTTTCCCATTAAGCTGATCAAACTGGTCTAGAATTGACAACTCTATCTTTGTGGTTTTTAGGCAGTTATTCCAGGGCAGCATACAAACTAAGAACATTTGAAATGGAGGCAAGTCTTCACACTGACACACGCTATGTCTTTCTTTTGGATGCACATACACACACACTTGCTGTTGATTTGGCAACAAGAAGGCAAATCCACAGCCGCAACATAACAGCCAACACAGACATATTCCTATGAGACCAGCTTATGTTTATATATTAGATTTGAAAGAAAAACAGGCAAATTTCAGAGGAGGGAAATAGGCCGATTTATACTGAGGCACACAGCTTAATGATATTGCTTTAGTTTGTGTTTATTACCATCAGCCGAATGTTCAATATCGGTTTTAGTCTTAACAGTAGGCCTTCTAAGTGCAACAGACTACATCACATGACTTTTGTGTCCTTATACAGCGAGTCACTCCCAATAAGGCGGACTATAAATGTGCAGTGACGGGCCTCTGAGGCCTCTGACTGTGCAGACATTTTGTCATTGCCAAATGCACTCGGTTATTTTTACAAGCTGCAGTTATAATGATGAAGAGGCTTGGGGTTGGGTTCAGGAGATTCAATAGTGCGTTATGCTCAGTATGATTCAGTTATCTTTTTTTATTTATTTATTTATTTTCTAATAGTGAGTGGACTACTGGCAGCTCGGCTTGGGGTATACTTTTAGTTTCTCATCTGTAGAAAAGGCCAGTTTATTAATTCCCCTTAGAGCTCAATAAATTTATGGTCAGTAAATTTTCAGTGTTGAACAATGGGAAGATATTTCCAAGATTGGAAAGTTGGCATGTTTCTGATAACTGTAGGGATGTAATTGGAGGCCTTCACTTTTTAGCCTCCTTTTGCTGGCCATAATAAATATAAAAATAGATTGCAGACTGCAAGATTTCAAGTAACATCCACTTAGAGTTTACATACCCACCCAAGTTGCATAATTTTCTTTCCTAAGGGTTTCTAAACCTCCAAGGACATTCAGACTTTTATCTATTCTCTTCTGTTTTATCAGCATCTAGAAGATGCATGTGACAAAATCAAAAAGGAATCACTTTGAAGAAGATTAAAGAATTCATTAAACCACCATAATAAGTATACTTGCATATCAAGTAAAGGAAAAAAAGTAGATGAAATGTACCCAAAATATACAGTTGTAGCTTGCAAATTTAGCCATATCTTTTCAGCATTTTGGACATGCTGGAATCATGAACTTCAGTGTAGTTAGGACAGAGAGAAAACACTTTTGCTATTGTGTTTAAAAGATGTGTTGGCAACGTAGGTGCTGAAAAACTGAACTCATTACAGGCACTTCTCACAAAAATGGTTGCAGAACAATCATGAAAGATCTGATGACCTTGACTGTTTTCTGTTTTTAATTTATCTGCTTCTTTTCTATCTCCTTCAGTGTAGAGCCAGCTTGCATGTAAACAGAGTAAGAAACTTCCACAGTGCAAAAACTCTTTTTCTTTTTCTTTTTAGAATCTCTACTTTGACAAAGTTTCTCTTTACTGAAGTTTGGATTACGTTGATCTATTTCTCTGCAGCAGATGAAAACCTCTGATTCTAAGTTGTCCACCTGCAATGTGAACAACTGTGTCAGGGATTTGCTCTTTGCCCGCTCACAGCCCAGACTTGGACGAAGTTCTCGTTAGCCCAGTTGTAAAGTCGTTCTGGGTATAGCAACTCTGAGGTCTTGAAATCTTGAAATGACGACCAGCTCCCACTCTGCTGCCTCACCGGCTGGCCAGTACATTCAGAGTTGCCATTGTAATGGGCATCTTTGGACACGCCCAGATGCGCCTCTCTGGCGTGAGGAGAGTCGGTTGTAACTTGATTATGGGACTCGGTCTAGACGAGGCTGGCGTCCCTTTTGCTGTTTATGATGCTGTAGGAGCTGTATAATCGACTGCTCTTATGTAAGAGAAGAATTTCTGCAGAGCCAAAAGAGTTGATCTCATATTGGTTTCCCTTAACCTTAGCTCCATTTCATTAGGCATAATAAATTTTGCTTCCTGGTGACAAATCTGCTACTGTCTTTCTCTCCCACATGATTGGAATCCATTCTCTGTGCTGATCCAGTGTGGGTGGTCAGACTGGGATTTATCTAGTGTTTGTGTTCGCACACTCAAACCACGGATGAATCAGCCTGTCCGCATGCATGATTGTGATCGAGGGAGAGCTGGAAACACTTGAGGTGTGAGAGTTTGCACGAGCGCGTGCGTGTGTGTATGTCACGTCACGTGCACATATTGTGCCGTATAGGGATCTCGTAGCTGCATATGCATGTCTTCTCGCTCATTAGGCAGAGCAGTGTGGATGCGATGAGAGGAGATGAAAGGGGAGCGTTGTGGCCTTGGCAGGAGATCCGAGGCTCGTCTGATGCCCGTTTGCATCTACGCTGTGTGACACCTGTCAGCCCCAGACATGCACACACTGTGATGCGCTGAGATACTGTGACTGTGTGTGTGTGTATGCGATTGTGTTATTGCCAAAGTCCTTTTGGCAAAGCTCACAACTTACAAATGGATTTTCTTTTCTACTTGCACCCTTGTGCCACTTTATACACATCCTATTTCATTTATAAAGCTTGCAGCCAAACTCTGAGGTGCACTTAAATCCATCTCCGTCTTTCTATCCTTCCTTCCCCATCCTTGTCTTACTGTCATTACATCTATAACTTGTGTCCCTTGTGAGGAGTTGGATGCCTGCCCGTGATGTTCTAATCAGCTAAGTGGGGGTCCCATTTGGATGCGAGGAGGCTCCCAGACAGTTGTCTCCTAATCTGATTTCACCTCTTCTATAAATCAAGAAAATAAGGAGACAGTCAAGGTCTGTCCTTATCTATTTTGTGACCTCAAGCAGACTCCAAGTTCATGCTTTTTGTATTTGTTTTTCTTGCTAGTACTTGTGGTGATTGTTACACAAAAGTCCAATGGAATACGTGGACGTTCATGGCTATGATGTTAACGTGAGTTGAAAAACCAAATTTGCTTATTTTCTAGGTGCAACTCAAACACTGAAATAAAGCAAAACATTCTGTCCAACTAGAATAATCGCTACAAACAAGAACATTTGTAAAATATTTGCATTGAGATTAGGCATCACAGGTCATCAAGTAAGATGTTGAGGCAGCCGTAAGTACTTTGGTCGTTTTCCATGTTAGCTTAATTTCTCAGCCTCAGAAGTTGCAAAGTAGTAAAGTATCTTTGAATAGAAGATCCTTTCTGATTCAGTGATTACAGGTTTTCACCGCCTCTTCTTCAACTGTGTTATTATGTTCAAGTGCACCAGCAGAGTCAACTACCAGTTAGCTGATGGAAGGGAACAGCAGAGGCAACTGCATGGCACAGAGCAGAGTTCCCTCGCAGTTTCACTTCCCACTCCCAACGTCTTCTAATTCCCTGCTGGAATCATGTTTTTCTCTAAACATGTTCCCGTGTCTTCTTGACTGATGAATTCAATCTTTTTTTAAGTCAATTCTTCTGTTCATTTTAATGAAAACCCTGAGAGTTGCTTTGCACTCCCTCTACCTCAGCAACATGGTGACAGTTGGTAGGAGCAAATTTGTTTGCATTTGTTTCTACAAATGCATATTCCTAACAAACATCAATATTTGGATTACATCTCCTTTATGTTAGTTGTTTTTCAGCTTCATTTCATTGTTTTTTACCAACGTTGCCTTATTTTCTTTTCTCCCATCTCACCCAAGCGAAGAGACATTTTTCTCGTCTAGAAGGAAAAAAAAACCTTTTACTCTGAGCCATATTTTCTGAGAGACATTGATCCACACTTGTCGCTCTGAGTATGCAAACACTCAAAACCGCACGTGTTACCCTCTGAAGTCCCTCGGGAAATGATGGCACGGCTGACAAATAGAGCCGACCGGTGCTTACATTGGTGTGGTGACACCTCTCTTCCTCTCGCCGCAGTGACCTCGAGCAAGCAACAGGCACGTCACTTCACAGATGGATGTGTTTACACCGAAACTGTGATTTGTTCCATCATTCAGCTGGGATTAGATCCCCACAACATAGTAGTTAAAGGCTCAGCTCTGCATGTTAACCTGCTCTATTACTCTCATGTGTTTGTGACACACGAGAGTTGGGAACCATTATAAACATTCATTTCTTTTGTTTTTCATTCTCAGATTTTTCTGGGCATTTTTGGGGCTTTTTTTGTTTTTTTGGTCAGACGCATCTAGTTAGTGGTGTCACTTATACCAGCAGAACTAATCCGATAGAATCCAAAAAAGCTTGGAGAGCAGGAGAGCAGAACACAGAGAAAGTGAGGTGATAGGATTGCCTTCACAATCCCATCATGCAGCACTTTAACTTTGCAAGATCCAGAGTGCAGATCTCTGATGGGATGATTGGGATTTGGATAGGGGGCCCAGCAGATACCATTTTCAGCCAAAGCATGACAGTAGCACATATCAGTAGCAGTGGAAACCTGATTATGTTGTAAAACTGGGGAGCAGGAATGGAGCGCTGAACATCCTCGCACCCTCACAAACTCAAGATGATTATTTTTAAACTTTCACCATCAGGAACACTCCATGAGAGTGCGACATGACTTTCTGCTTTCAGCTGGTGAAATCCTTAACTTTTGCTAAAATTATATAGCATACAATTGAATTGTCAAATTTGTTTTGTTCTATTTTGTTTTAAGAATTTTTCACATTTGCTTTGTTTTCCATTAAATGAAAAAATGGCTGATGAACTGATTTGATTAAAATGCACCATGCTCCCAAATATCCTACTGTATTTAGACATTTAGCTGATAATTGAACAAAATAAAAAGTGCTGCTCAATTGCTAAGGGTTTTAATAGATTTTTCTCAATATTTGTATTTTTTCTTGAAGCTTTTTTCTGGTAAATCATCTTTTAACATGAAATTAGTTGATCCACATCACAGTCCCTGACATTTTTTTGTGTTGGAGTACCCTGTTGCAAAAAACATATATTTTATATCTAATTCAAATTGTACTTTGACTAACATAAGACCCCTCTCAAGATACTTAAACAAGTCTTGCAAAACCTCATTTTAACTTTCAGTCTGCTCTTCCTTCCTTTACAATAGCCTGATCATTGCCTTTTCTGATTTTTATCTAGGTTGAGTGCTTCGTCTGGGATTTCTCCCATTGAGCTTGATTTGTCAGGGCTGGTTTTTACTAAACTAAGTTTACAGTGATAATGGTTGGGGAAAAGCAGAAAAGCACAGTGTGCTTCTGGCTATGCAGTACTCAGTAGATCTTATCTACTTCCAGAAATGTCAGTGTAATTATTCTGAATCTCATGTTTTGGCCACTTTCTGCTGTTGCAGAAGTTGATGTTTTTAGAGCAGTTTAAATATATATATCATCTTAGGAGACTTATGTCAGTTTGAATAGCTGTGAGATGGTTCTCTTCTCCCAGCAGTCACCATCAGTAATGTACAACTGCACAATTTGTCTATATATATACACATATATTATGTGGGTATCAAATCATTCCTCCTGTTTTATTATTTTTAGAGGTCTTATTTAAAGGATTTTTTCCCCCAAAGAAATCTAAACACACTAATTTAATTCTTCCCTAAAGGTGATTTATTTAATCTGTTTTCTTCCTCCAGCCACCATCATTTTGAATGAGCTGAACTGGACAGATGAGTTGGAGGATGTCTTCCGACAAAACAAAGATGATGATCCCTCACTGCTCTGGCAGGTTTTTGGCTCCGCTACTGGACTGGCTCGGTATTACCCAGGTGAACCTCCATTACTCCAGGTTGATGAATCTCGACATAAACAGAATTTCATTAACAATGGGCTACTTCTAATACAAATAATCAATAACCACTCACAACAGGAAGACAAGAAAAAATATTTTGAATGCTGTTTCTTGAGAAATCTGAATCAGCTAGGTTTTGCTTCAAAACTACTAAACACAGAACCAAGTTTGAAAATGGCAGTTTTGAACTTAATTGACGAGTAAATGAAAGACTGCTTGTAAAAGTTGTACATCAGTGACATGACATTTTGGTTAATGCAGTTGGTCAGTTTGAAATCTTAAAATCTGGAATTTTTATTGGCAATCCCCACAATGTCTTGTAGCAAACAAAAAATTACATACAACAGACTGAATCGAAAAGTCTGGTTTTTACTTTATTAAAAATGCTTTGTGCCCTCGCTTATGTTTCAACGACACAGTTTGTGTTTGGCATACAGAGATCTGTTTAGGACATGCATGTTTCCGGTCTTTGAGAGCCAGAGTCCTGCATGTTTTAAATGCTGAGCACACCTGATGTGAATAAATGTCATTAGCAGGCTGCTGCAGGATTTTGTGACAGATAATTCTACCATTTCAGTCAGGTCACAAGACTCTCATCTTGCTTCAAAAATGGCTTAGGCTTGATGCAAATATATTCTTGTATCTCTGATACTTGACATTTTTCTGTCCAATGCAAGAAACATGGAAGAAATTGTGCCTGTTTCAAAGAGAGTAAAATAATACTACATATTGTGTGTATTTATGTTTAGTTTAGTTTATGCATGTTGACAAATGCAGTTTCTTTGGTTGAGTCTGGAGAACTTGACTGTGATGTAAAAACATTGCTGTGCCTGCATGCAGCTTCCCCCTGGAACGACAAGAGAAGCTCACCTGACAAGATTGACCTGTATGACGTACGCAGGCGACCTTGGTGAGTTGGTTGAGTCTCATGTTAATTTGTTCAAACATTAGTTAGTTAAGAAAGCAGGTGACTTTAAAATTCAGCAACTGTTTTTCTGGTAGTGTGCATTGCAGCTGTGGGTTTCGGTGAAGCTTTACTTCTCTAAGAAGAAGTATTTCAATGTTTTCTGTGTGTACGTGTGCTCCATATGTACAATCTGTCTGTGTGTTTCTGGTATTACTCACCAGGTACATTCAGGGGGCGGCGTCACCCAAGGACATGCTGATCCTAGTGGATGCGTGAGTGACATCCTTATGATTCATACATTACAGTCAGATTGGATTTGCTTTTGCACGCCAGGAGGTCCTGATGCTAACTCTGAGCCTGGCCTCATCCCGCTGGGCGCTGCCGGGCTGCGCTCATGTGTGACACTCACTAACAAAAAGCAGTCAGTGCACTGGCCAACCTTATTATTTGCAGCCCAGTTGTTCCCCACAATGATTTAAGACTGGAAAACTTTAAGTTTAGAATAACTGCGAGGTCCATAAGGGACTCCTGGAGCTTGACCAGATATGACAATAGTTCTTTCACATCAAGAGATTCCTGCACAAATTTTGTCATGTTTGAGGAAAACACACTTTCAAGAATTAATTTTGAAAGAGTGAACATTTAAGATTTAATTTTTGACATATTATGATTATGTTCACATTTTGAAATCATTATCAATCACTTTTTTTCAGTTAACAAAATATGTATTTGTTTGTGTAGAAACCTGACTGACTTAGTCATTTAGGACTTAATTTCTAATTGAGAAACGAGGAATAGAGGATTTGACTTGTAAATTTCTTTATGATGGACTAAATTCAGGGCGGTCTAACTCTTTTGGCTAAGTTAATTTTGCTGCAACCCAGTTTAGCTAAACAAAATTTCTGCTAGGGGAAGACAATAGACAAGCATGTATGAGGAGCATCCATCCATTATCTTCCACTTAGTTTGAGTTTGGGTCGCTTAGACAGCAGCTGAAGCAGTGGCCCAGACTTCCCTCTCTTCAGCCACTTAAGGCAGTTCTCCGAGCGTTTCCAGACCAACAGACAAACATAGTCCCTCCAGCATGTCCTGGGTTCCTCTGGGACATTTCCTGGGGGGACGTGGCCAGGAAGACATCCAGGAAGATACCTGAGAGGAGCCACCTCAACTGGCTCCTCTCAGTTGAGGTGAAAGCCTGAACTTCTCTCCCCATGTTAAACTCCAAATGTAAAATACCAATTTCTGTGCACTGGGAAGATGAATTCTTGCTAACTGTTACGCTAGCAGCATTAATCTCGGAGGCATCTTTTCTTGCTATGTAATAATGTGTTGGTTCTGTATTCTTACACATCACCATTTATTTATTAATGTCCCTGGAAATAGACGTGTTCAAAAACCAAACTGCTCTGGTTCTCCAATAGGTACTCTGAACTAGAAAATTAAATCCTTCATAATCCTCTCATGGTATGTGGATGCATGAGAAATATAAGGCCGTTATCTAGAATTGTATTTCACTGTTCCAGTTGATACAATTTTAATCATTTCTCTGACTCTACATTACTGTACAAAAATTCCCTCTTTTACTTTTTTTTTTTGTATGAAGAAAAGACATAGCAATCTAAAAGTTATACATGCAAATACTTTTTATCAAATCTTTACAATGACGGTCGACACTTTTGGGTTACTTGTTGCTTTAGTAATAAAATTACAATGACAATGTCTGTGATTCAGTCATCGACTGCGATGGTGGAGTAATTCTAAGACCCATTTTTGGTACTTCAGGAGTGGAAGCGTATCGGGCCTCACCCTGAAACTCATCAAAACCTCAGTCAGCTGGATGCTGGAGACCCTCTCCGATGATGACTTCGTAAACGTGGTGTCTGTGAGTATTTACTTTTGTTCTACATGTGCTGGAGTCAAGATTGGAAATAATTGCTTAAGCAGCTTTATTCAACTCACTGATTTAATGGATAATCGTGATGCAGTCCGATGAGAAAGTATTTACATTCTTACAAATTTTATCTCCTTTTTTGTGTCATTAACATCTTTTAGTTCATCAAAGTAATTTAAATTTCAAAAGTAATTTCTTTTATTATTATTATTTCAATTGTTCAGAGAAGAAAGCCATCCAAATTAACCTCCCCCTTGTAAAGAAAGCAGTTTCCAACTAGAAGCTAATTTTGTGATTCTTGGCTGCAACAGCTTTCATCAAAATCTGGTAATGAGTCTTGATGTCTCTCTCCAGCAATCATCTTTGCAAAATTGTGTTAATTCAGCCAAAATGCCACGTTGGAGCATTTTCTTATGGCCTACTTTATGTTGTCAGCCGGGTTCTGTTTAAATATGCTGATGGTATATATATACAGGTGTGGCATCAACCAGGGTTGGGTGTGACTTTCTAAAAATATGGGTATCAGGTTAATTCATTACCTAATAAAAGGGATTTTTTTTTTGTTTGTTTTTTTACATGTTTTCATTGGATTTTTTTTCTTTGATTATTCTATGATTATTAAAATGCTTAACGGTGCTGAAAAGGGAAACGCAGAAGAACTAATTTATTTCCATAAATTATGCATTTTATCAGACAGAGCAAGGACACCCAAGTATGTTTGAAAATGAATTCTCAAGTTCGAGCCATGAGATGCAACATGAAACCTTCGAGAAATAAATCTTTGCTGCATTCTTATGCCACATTTCTAACCCTGTGGGATGAAATAGAAAATGTCTTCTTTGCCAAATGAGATTTGATAGAAAACTCGAGTACCAAAGGTTTCCTGGCATTAGGGTGGAGGAAGCCTTCATCCATCACAGTTTACAGCTCCAGTGACTGCCAGTTTAAAGCATTTCTGGACCTGAGCTATATTACCTTCACAAAGAAAAATAACAGTTCAGAGGGTGAGTCTTTCCTCCAGGTCAGAATGTTTACAGGGCATTGCCGAGATGAATTGGAGGCAATCGTACCGAATGGGATTACTACTGAAATCCACAGAGTGTGTGAAACATGGGCTCCCATTACTGTTGCTAATATGGGTTAGTATAAAAAGTGATATAATACTGTGTCTGTGGCTTTAGTTTCTAAGAGCTTTTCCACACAAGTATAAAAGCTTTTCATAAAATAATTCATTTAGTAGTGTACATAGAAGTGGTTTGAGGTAAAATTTTTGATTCTAATTATTGATAAATTGGTATCATCGTCCACTTTCTAAAAATACCACAAACTAATCAGAGATACTTTTGTAACTATCAGACCTTTCCTTGTTTAAATGTCCATAAGATACCAAATCAAAAAAATCTAAATTAATAAGGAATTGCTTAAATACATTCAACTATTTAAAGTGGATTCGGATAAGACAATGTAGCCATTTCATCAAACTGGATCTTAGCAGAAAACATCTGGGAAAAATTAAGGATATTTTTGAGCTTAAGATGTTCCATTAGAGTGTAATCAGTTTCTGGGTCACGAGTCAAACTCTTATCTTCTATTATTTTGTGAAAGCATGCAGCTTCTCAGCTTAATGCATCCCTCCAGTTTCTTGGCTCAGAATGCGTTTCATACTTGGGTCTGACGTTCCTCTGTCCAGCATCTCCTTTATCCTAATTGCTTCTACTTTGTCCTCCCTGCAGTCTCTCCTCATGGCTGGGAACATAAATTACTTTGCTTTCCAAATTAGCCATAAATAACATTTTGTTTCACTTCCCTTATTAGGTGCACTGGTGTGCATTTGTTTTGTGGAGGTTCAGTGGAATGGTTTATGACATAATGCTTTATAGACTTTGGTTTGCTCTGAGGTCTGATTTCTGTTTCTATGACTGAGCTGAGCATCCCCCCCACACTGGGTCGCACGTTAGAAAACAAACCCTATTTTTATCTTGTTCTGCAATGTCAAATATATATCTCATTTCAGTCAGCCTTCACAGTAAAATTATTTTAAAAAGCTGAATAGATTTGAATACCAGAACCATAATTATCAATTGATAATTAATTAGTAATTATGGTAATTATTGTAGTAATAATAATTGGTTATCATTAGAAGGCAAGATTTGCAAATAATAAAGCCTTCTACTCAAAGGAAATACGAAGCCTTGAACAGTTAATATTCTTGAAAGTTTTTTCATTTTGACACATTCTAACTGCAAAGCTGTGTAATTAAAAAATATGTATTTAATGCCATTTTATGTGAGGGTGGGGGGTAGAGAAAAGAGGAGGAATGTTTTAAAATATTTATTCTTAACAAAAGTATAAAAAATATATTCTTTTCCAGTTTCCTGAATCGGTATTATCATCGTAGGTGCAGAAATACTCACTCATGGATGTTATTGATGCTATGATTTGTTATGCTACGTTTGGACCATGATGATGATTAGGATCCGTGTTCAAAAGAGCCCCAAAGCAGATGCTGAGTACTAATGAGCCATGGCCCTGCCCTTTTATAGATGATGTGTGTGAGTTTGTGTGTAGATTGATTCACTTCCATCTGTTCCTCCACGTGAACTATTCACCAGGATCTACGTGAAGTTACTTTATGTGTAGTTGTGACTTGACGAATAATCTTTCTGGACTTAAGCTCTCTTCGTTTTTGCTCTTTTTTTTTTTTTTTCCTCCATGTGCCACTGTTTTCTCATCCCCTCCGTCTCTCCTACGTTTCCATCCTTGTGTTTATTTAGCTTCCTTCGGTGTGTGAAGTTTGATTACATTCAACCTTTTCGTCTTCCTGTTTGCACGTGACAATTTGTGTTGCTCTCTCCAACACAGTTGTCTCCAGTTGCATTTTATTTTTAAATGTCACTTAAATATTCCACTATATAGTTTAACATACGTCTTTTAAGGAACACTGCAACAGTTTGCAAAAATGAACCCACATATTTATTAGAAAATATGTGCAAGTGCCTTCCCTGTTCTTCCCGTCAAGCCTCCTTCCCTTATCCCCCCAGTTCAACAAAACTGCCAGGCCTGCAGCATGCTTTCAGAATCTGGTGCAGGCCAATGTGAGGAACAAACGGGTCCTGAAGGAGGCGGTGCAGAGACTCAAAGCCGAGGGCATCACCAACTACACAAGTGGCTTTGAACTCGCCTTTGAACAGCTCGCACAGGTAAAGAGTGTATGGAGTGTATTTAAATTCCATATTGAGGTAATGGTAACAATTCTCGTTTTTATTTTATGTAGCCCATATTAACCCGAACAAACTAGTGACATACTGTGAATCTGAAAAGTCTGCACACCTTTGTTAAAATGCCAGGTTCTTTTGAGAAAATAAAATGAAACCAGGATAAATCAGCTCAGAACTTTTTTCCACCCTCAGTGTGAACTCTAACCCGTTCAACTCTATTGAAAAACAAATGGAAATTAATAAAATGTTACGATTATGTGGCTTTGCATTCCCCGGCATAGATGGCCAACTTAATTATTCAAGGGTAAGTGTCCCACACCTCTTATGCTGAATAAATGGCTCACTTAACCTTATCAGGACGTCTTTAACTTCTGTAGAGGCCTGCTAACGACCCATTCATTTGATTCAGGTCAGTGTACATGCTGCGAAACCTCCTGGATTTCATTTAAAGGTGGTACAAAGAAAACACCATACAAAGCCTATTCAGCTGTGTGCTAATTGTATAACTTGAGTTTAAATGTAATTATAAACACAGTGACATCCCTTTATGTTTGTGTTTTTATCTTTACCCCTAAATAGTCCATTTATTTTTTGGTTGAGTCTGGTTGGTTGCTAAAAATGTCAGCATTGATCTTGGTCTCTATTTTTGCATCACAAAAAGCTTTTGTGTAGACTAATTATACTTTTTGTACATGTATATCTTTGTAATATGTAAGAGCTCATATCCACTCAACTTCAAGAATTGTCTGTAAAAAGTTGGATAATCACCACAGCTCTTAAATATTCTGTGAGTGAGCATATGCCACCCTCCGCTGGTTCTTTCAGATATTGCACTCATGATGCACTATTTGTTTCTTTTCACAAGCATTAATCCAGCAGCTGTTCTTAGTAAAGTTATAAGTCCTTGCTTCTGTGTAAACCAGACCAATGTGTCAAGGGCCAACTGCAACAAGATTATAATGCTGTTCACTGATGGAGGAGAGGAGAGGGCAGAGGAAATCTTTAAAAAATACAACCCAAAGCAAGAGGTAGGACTTTTTTCAGCTTCAACATGGTTGCTATTTGTTCCTCTTTCTACCATTTTTTGTTTCATCTTATTGCACTTACTTTCCTTTACAGGTGCGCATCTTTACTTTCTCCGTAGGCCAGCACAGCTACGACAAAGGCCCAATACAGTGGATGGCCTGCAATAATAAAGGTACAAAATATAATTGGATTTGTAGTTATTAGGTGAACACCCACATTTAATAACAAACATGAAATTCCTTAGCGGTTTGTGCGATATGCAGCTCTGGAAAACCTTAAGTGACCATTTACAGTTATCAGTTTCTCTGATTTTACTTTTTATAGGTGTATGATTGAGGAAAATTAACATTGTTTTCTTATTCTATAAAGTACTGATTTGTGTCTACATCTCTCCAAAAATCCAAGCAATAATTTAGTATTTATTTTCAGAAAATGATAAATGGTCCAAATAATAAAGCAAAAAATCAAGTTCATATGAATTTAGAAACAAAAATGCCAGTGTTTTAACTCAAGAAGAGTTCAGAAATCAATATTTGGTGGCATAAACATGAGGTTTTAAATGGGGTTTGGTGCTGTGTTTTTTAAAATTTTTCCAGTGCTGTTAAATTATACACCACCCAATACAAAAGCTGCTTTTCCACATAATCATCCTTTTGTTTCATTCCAAACTCAGCTGGAATGTTGCAAAAAAAAATCATTGTCTCATCGGAACAAATTATCACAGTATAAATTAAATCAATATTTGTGTTTGTAATAACATGGCAGTTATGACAGGTAAGCAGCTGGTTGACACAAATGAATGGTTGATTTTATTCTGAAAGTGAGCTGTGGGTTTTGAGTTTGTTTTTCTTTTACCTTTCCTGCCAACCTGATCAATATGTGTTGATCATAATGATGACATAATAAGAACTGGTTGTTGTTTAGCCTAATGGTTAAGCAAAATGGGCTACATATCCAGGGAACACTGTAATTATTAGGTGTCAAATACCTTTTAACAACTAATAAAAATGGATACATTAAAAACTGCCTCTGTTGCATTTCCTTTAATGGGGAAGTTCAGTGTTCCATCACTGGGGAACAAATGCCCTATGGCTACTACCCAGTGCCCTGTGGCTACTTTTCAGTAGTAGCTACAGTGTGTGACTGTGTGTGTGCGTGTGTAGGTTTGTGTGTGTGATTGGATGGATGACTAAATGTAGTATAAAGCGCTTTAAAGTCGATGAAGCGCTATACAAGTACAAGCCATATACTTGTAAACACTATTTGCACTTTTATTACACGAATGCCAAAATAATGTTGATTATTTTAACAATTTGAAATGATGTGCAGAAAATAAGGGTATTTTTACATTTTTTTTTATAAAGGGTGTTTGCTGCACTAGATATTTAGAATTTTTTGTTTTGATTTTTGGCAAGTTTACCAATACATTTTGAAGAACTGATAAGTTGATTCCTGTAGTAGGAATTTAAAAAAAATCAATGTTCTGAAGGATCTTGTCTAATGAATCCATTTCTCTCTCTCAGGTTATTACTATGAGATTCCATCTATTGGGGCCATTCGGCTGAACACTCAGGTAAACACTCATAGAAACACAGTTCAGTAATTGAACTTTGTGTTCTCATTACTTCTTATCCATCATCTCTGGCTCTTCCAATTTGATGCTTATGTTGCCCCCTTGTGGTAGAACTCTCCATGTGCAGGTTGCAAAATAAGTTTCTGATCATCTTGGCAGGAGTACTTGGACGTTTTGGGTCGGCCAATGGTCAGAGCTGACAGCAAGTCCAAGAAAGGCCGAAAGGTCAAGCAGGTCCAGTGGACAAATGTCTACCTAGATGCACTGGTAAGTTCTGCTGGGGAGCGGAGACATCATATTTACAAGGGTGAAAAATTCCTGCTATTTACCGTGTGAACCTGGAATAATTTGTTTCATGTATTGTTCCATGTGCTCTTTAAGTCTTGTTTAGTTATTTGCTGTCATGTTATCTTGTTTTTGCACTATGACAGATGAACTGTATTCCCGAGTGTCGCCTTTTATCGTTGTTTATGTTTCTGTCAAGATTTACTGCCAGCAACCTCAGATAAGAAACCAGACTGATAAAAGAAGTTTGGATTTGATCGGAGACTGTCCATTTGGGAAATTACATCGACTTTCTCAACACCAAAAATGTCTTTTAAAAAAAGCACCCATTTAATCTTTTTTTTTAAAGAAAATTGCAAGTAGTCTCCTGCAAATTTTTATTACATCTATATCTGTAAATGGTTTTGTATTAATTAGAAGCAGTAATTACAAACTTAAAATATATTGAAGCAAATTACATGTGCTCTTGAAACATTGTTGTAGAAATAGAAATCTTATGTGAGCTGTGATGGACTCAAATAACCTGCAGCCTCTTTCACTCTGAGATCAAATCCAGTATAACCAATGTTTATTTGAGTGCATCAGTCAATAAACTATCATCATCAACAAAGGACCAAACTATGGAGAGGTTAAAATCAGTTTGGCCATAAAGCAATTTTCCAAGTATTGAAAAATTACTTTAGAATAATGCATCATTCGTGGTGTAAAGTGATGTGAAAAAATAAGTCTGATTTGCAGTTTTCCACTGTCCATGTAGAGTTTACATTGAGAAAGAAATTCACTTTATGTCAGGAAAACAGATGTAAGGTACAGTAAAATTGTTTAGGTTAGATTGAAGCATAATCATTTGTTAGTATTGTCCAAACTTCCAGCCATAAATCCAACTAACAAGTAGATATAAGGTATGGATTTTCTCAAATGTTTTCTAACCAATCTAAATAAAATTAATTTGGTTTGCAACACTTGTAGAGGCAGATTCCAAAGTAAGCAGTAAAAGTAAGAACTTTTCTGCTATTGCATCGACAAGGTTCTACAAAATCTCAACGAAGTTACCTGCATGTGGATTCACATTTCCATTTAAATAGATAGATTTAAAATGGTAAAATAACAAAACACTGTACCATCCATATATTTGTGGTTGTAGTCTTAAGTATTAGATTTTGGGATGGTTGAATAAATTTGCAAACCCCTGTAATGGGCATAACTCTACACAGGTTTTACAAGCATGTTCTCTGTGTGTTATGTTGTGTCTTTCAGGAGCTGGGTCTTGTAATCACCGGTACACTGCCCGTCTTCAACAAGACTGACACAGGCTCAAAGGTATCCACAAAATACATTTTTAGTTAAGTCACTTTTCAATTGCCCCAGCATTTTTTTTTTTTTTTATTTTTTTTGCATATGGCTGTAAGTGCTATTAATTGATAACAATGTCTCGTTCTGGCATCTTTACCTACACGTTCCGTCTGCTTTTGACTGTCTCACACTTTGATTTCATAGATTAAAAGAAGGTTTGTGGCTTTCAGAGATGCAACAATATGCTACATGTTAAAAAGATCAAGAGATAAACATTCAACATGAATAGTTGCTTTCATCTTTGATCTTTTTTATCTTCTTGTGGCTTTGGCTTGTTTCCTCTGTTGATGCAGAGGTCCCCCAAAGCTCTCCACAAGAAGAGAATGTAGGAAGTCACACAGCAGAATTCAAGAATAAATCAATCATGCAGATCAGAGTGAGAAATGATCCGGTAGCTTAAATGCTTCAAGATGAGTCGACATGTCTACCTCGAAGGACTTGGAGCCTACCTCCAGTGCGACTGAAAGCAAGTCTGGAAATGCCTTGTCAGTGACTCACTGCAGCACATGAAGCTTTTGGGAATGAAACTGTCCAGATTTCTATTGCAACCATTTCCTTGAAATCCTTCACAATCCACAGAGGGAATTGACTCATCCAGGAAAAGCAACAGAACTCATAAGAGGGCCTTACAGTTTCTCTTTGCAGCTGACATCCTCTCTGTTTTTCCTGTGTTTTTTTTTTTCTCAAAAGTCACAAAACCAGCTCATCTTGGGAGTTATGGCTATTGATGTCTCCTTAGAAGATATCAAGAAACTTACGCCTCGGTTCACAGTAAGAGCTCATAAGTCATGTTATTGCAGACAAACTTGTTCTGTTCATTTTGGTCTTCAGGCAGGGATATTCCCCCCCCCCCCACTAATTCTCGTTTTATTTTTTTAGTTTGGTCCAAATGGCTACTACTTTGCTATTGATCCAAATGGATACGTGTTGCTCCACCCTAATCTTCAACCGCTGGTAAGCAAAATCTTCTCTTATGACATTCCCTATAACATCTCTGTTGTGTTCCTTGGCCTTTTCTTTGCTCGTTGTTCATTAATATTCTCTATGAAATCTGAGGCCTTCACAGAGCAGCTGTATTTATACAAAGACTGACTCGCACTCGGATGGATTGTTTACTAAATAGGTGGCTACTGAAAGCAATTGATAACACTTATTTTTATTTAGATAGATCAGAGAATGAGGGGGCTGTATACAAATGTCTCATTTTATCAATTTATCTCTATTTATAAATATCAGTAAAACGCATTGCATTTTGGTTATCACGTGACAAAAAGTGAAAACGGCGGTATAAATACTTTTGCAAGAAATTGTACATGTCGCAGGGAAAACATCATTTGCTTGCAGGATTGGATTTATTTGCTTGGCAAAATGTTCCATCGTGACATTTGAGAAATATGCTTTTTGTAAATATGCCATTAGGTAAATTCGTTGCAGATATATGACTTGGATTTTCTTCCTGATCATTTCCCTCTTTAGGGCTGCAACGGTCAAAACCTGCTTTTGGAAGCAGATTAGTAACGGATGTTTTGAAGAATTTCCCCCTCCTCCTCTCCTTCTACTTTGTTTTCACACCTGACAAACTGACAGAAGTAATTTTATGCATTTTCTCACAGACTGCCAAGTTTGATGAACCTGTAACACTCGACTTCCTGGATGCGGAGTTGGAGAACGACATCAAAGTGGAGGTCTGACACAGATTTGTTTTCTAATTTGATTCCACAAACTGGAACCACATGATGATGTGGCGACATGATTTATATATTTTGTGTTATGTTTCTTTTGTTGTTGTTTTGTATACAGATAAGACATAAAATGATTGAAGGGGAAACGGGAAGCTACACAATATCTACCCTGGTGAAATCTCAAGATGAGGTAATTGGTTAATTTTTGAGGTTCTATCCATGTTTATTTGGAATCTTCTTGAACTGACATTAATGTCATTATTTAAGCGCTACATTGACGAAGGGGAAAGGACCTACACCTTCGCTCCTGTGACGGGAACAGACTACAGGTAAAACTTCAAATAAGCTGCATGCACACTCTTTACTCCAGTATGATACTTTATTAAGTAGATCAACTAAAATGTTTCATTATTAAACATCACCAGGCTTTAACAATAGCTTCTACAATGAAGAAAAATAGCTTTTCTTAAGTATATTTTGTAGTAATTAGGCTATTTTAAGGGTAGAAGCAGCAACTTTTAACCACTACATTAAAAATAAAACACTTTGCCAGACAACCACTAGTATGTCTCTCCATTAGAATATAATTGAAATGTTTTCACTTTTGTTTGTTTGTTTTATTTTAGTGATTCAAATCAAAAGATAAACTCTTATTGTATTCCAATTCATACAATATTCTTTAGTTTCTTTATGTAATACATGTCAGGGGAGCCAGTCAGATAACATTATGGTCATTAACGTAAATATTGATAACCTTTAGCGGTGTGATCAGGTCTGTGCATGTTCAGTCTTTCTCCAGTGTCTGGGACCTTGATCTTCACGATGAAACACAAAAGTACATTTATCTAAAATTAGAGCTCTGGAGCGCAGAGCTGAGCGCCACCCTTTTTCTCCTTTGTGCAGCTGATACTCTTCTAGCGTCAAGGACACAAATGATGCCATAGTTCTAGCTCACTGTCTGGATATGTGTGTGTGTGCTGTTGAGTCTGTGGTTCCAGTTGCAGTCCACGCCTTGTGAATCTTTCCCAAATTCTTATAGGGCCTTTGCTCTACGAGCCGCTCGAGATGGCAGCTATTCCTGTTGCTTCTGCACTTTTTTCTGCTATACTTTTTTTTTCCACTCAACTTTTATTCTATTCTGTAATATATCTGCGTAAGAGATGCTCTTTTTTTGAATTGAATCAATTGAAATAATGTTTTCGTTTATATTCAAATATACTCACACACATATCTTACATCATAAGATTCATTTGTTTTAACCTCATTGAAGCTGCAGTCAGAGCCTCCTGTATGAGGTTCATACTTTTCATCACAGCAAATCACTGACCACTCCAAAAGCTATTAGAAGGATTGGTGAACAGCCAGGTCATTCCCCAGTCCTGTTTAGGCTCACTGTAGTCGAAAAATGTTGCACTTGAATACATACGCGGGGGCATTTTCCTGCTTCATTTCCTGTTAAATCAACAGTTCATATTTTCTACATTTCTTAAATCTCTTCAGATATTTCTTCACCCAATCAAACCAGCAAAGGAGGTTTGTTAATTGCGTGTTGGCTTGAAAATCCTCAGAACCTCTTGTTGGATATTACTCATACAGATCTTAGTTATCCATATTACGTAAGTGAATTATGAGAAACATTATCTGAAATCCAGTGAGTCCGGCTGTTTGTTTTGGATTTGGAAAATATGGCTAGAGATGGCGAAATGCTTCTGTGCTTAATGAGAGTGCAAAAACAGGCACACTGCATGCTGTTAACACATTAAACAATGCCATAATTACCGGGGGAGAGAATTGGACAAGTTGCTGAAAATGATTCAAAGTGGTGCTTTTATTTTGTTTTCTTTTTGTCCCAGCCTGGCCCTGGTCCTGCCAAACTACAGCATGCACTACATCCATGCAACCATAGGCGACACAATTACCCAGGCAAAATGTAAGTTGACGTTCACATCACAGCTACAACCCTGCCTCTTATATTATTACACTTATGTTTACAGAGGTTAGATAAGCAGTACTTGGTGGAAGTTAAGTGCTGTCATGGATTCTGTCCATCAATAAATGAGCTCTGAAAAAAAACATGACTACCCTATACATCTACGCCACACTATAATAGTTGTTACGAGTATTTCTGAAATAAAACATGCCCTCATGTTTTGTGGAGTTGGAAGGTTTTTTGTTGTTGTTGTTTTTTTTTTTTTTTTTTTATCTGAAAAACATCAGGGCAGAGATCTCTCCTGTCCCCTTTTACACATAACTGTCTGGAAAAGTATGGAATTTGGCTTGAGTATTTTCCAGGGGCCTCATGTCCTAAGAGTCACTTGGATTCCTTCCTGAGACCTTGTGTACACTAAAACTCAGAAAACTGCATGCACATAAACAAATCCAGGTGTATAACCTGATGCTTTCTCATGCGCCTAAATAGAGTTCCTTTGTATATCCTAATCAACAGGATTGGACACAAATGATGGGATCCTCCTGTAAAAAGCTTCTTTTAGTATTTGCAAAAACAATGTCTAGATGTGTGGGGGAAAAAAGACTTTAATACTCCTACATGAGCGAGAGGAGTGTAAAACTCAGAGAGGACCACTAGAATAGACTATATCAGAATCAGACTCTCTTCAAGGTTGTACAAAATGTGGTCCAGAGTCAGGGGCCATTTGCTGCCCCTGGGCTGAATTTTCTGCAGGTCCTTCACAAATATCCAACAAGATAAACTCTAAAGAGAGAGTGATCCCATTTCTATCCTTGCAGAGAAGAGACAGGTTTTGTCTCAACTCAGAAAACTTCCTGAAAAAGCTTAGTGAGCCTGTAACTTCTGGTTTTATGGCACCATCTGATGCACATCTTTGGAACTGATTTTGAGATATTTTAACTAATCCACTAAGTAGAAACCCATCCCACACCATGCCAGCTTGTCGTCTTTGCCTAACATGAAGTTCATTAGAATAAACAAATGGCGCATTGGACAAAGTCATCTGACCACATACAGCTTGTTCTTTGTCTGAAGATGCTTGCTGTTAAACCAGCAGCATCGTGCCTTCAACTCTGAACCAAAAACCTGTTCTTTTCACGGCATAATTTTCAAAACTCTTCAGTCATAATTGCATTACTTCTAGAAAACCATTCTTTTCTGTATCACTTACCTCTTTAATAGCAGCTCATTATTGGTCTTTGCCATGTATGATTGTTTATAAATCACCAGGTTCCCAGCATTCCCTGTAGGTGTCCCTCCCTAACAACTGTGAATGAATGGGATGATGGACATTTCCTCAGTTTTCTCACCTCGCGGGAAAAATGAAATTTTGTTTTTGCAGCTATTATCCATGAGGGCCAAGTGTGGATAAACATAAACTAGAACATTGAGTAAGAGCAAATGTTATTACAAACTTTTATTTCCTTTCCAACTGTCTAAATCAACCTAACTATCTCTTAGTGGATGATGTTGTTATGCTCAGTATTTTTTATTAAAATGAACCCATAAAAATCATTAGAGTTTTGATGTTTATGTGCAACTTCTATTAAAGGTTCATTTTTCTGTCTAGAGAAGGTTAAAATATTACTCAATGTTTTGATTTCTTCCATGTCGTGCGTATTTCTGTATTTTGGATTAAGATGTAACTGGTCCTTGTTAAGCTCTATTTAGTTTTTTATTTATTTTTGATTTTTTTGGATCATTAGATTTTGCATCCACAATGATGCATTTCAATTCGCATGCATTTCTCAAACCTTGCAATGTTTCCAGCTGTTTTGGAAAAAAAAATCACGTTAGGTCCTGAGTGTGTGCTCAAAAACATAAAAAAACATAATAATAAAACCAGTTGGCAGATGTTTTGAAGTTTTCCCCCTTCTACTTTGCTTCATCTACCACAAAATATTTCATCATGTTTTGTTTCTGGCAGCTTTATTAAATAAAGTTGCAACCAGACTGAAACACTTGGAAGACCTTTAAAGAACTTCAAACATCTGAGATTCACTTTTGCGTTATGAAAGTGCAAACTAGAAAATTAGTATAAAAACAATTTAGCCATCCTCTGAATGGCACCAATTTATGTTTTAACTTGACCAATTTGTGATAATTGAGACTTTTCCTCTTTAGGTCAGTCTATCTTAAAGCAATCAGTATCCAGTTTATGTTCCCCTGAGCTTTCCAAGTGAATTTTCACAGCATTTTATGTTGTGATATTATGGAAATATAATTGTTTTTGGTGAAGAAAGGAAAACGATTTTTACAAAAGTTGTCTCTATACATTAAAATATCATCAAAAATGCCATGGTGATTTAATTTACTAAAAGAAACCTTTTATGTTATATAAATTTTACAAATTGTTATATTGAGAGGTTTTGTGGTTTTTTTATTTGTTTTGTACTTCTGCGTACAATATTCTTATTCAATGCGCATTTGAATAAAATATTGTGTAACCCTGTTTTCTTGTCTCTTTCCAATTCCCTCCTTTCTCTTCTCAATCTTTTAACCTCTTGTTCTGAACTCCCAACCCTTCCTGCTGTTTTGGAACCTCCGCAGCATTTTTGGGCAAGTATCCCCCTTCTGTACTTTTCCCCACAGCCATCCTCATCTCTCTTATCACCCACACGCTTTGGATGTAAATTTGCAGAATCGCAAACACCGAGGCATAATTACCGACAACTTTATCACGATGAATCAAGCGAGATTAATTCACCCAGAGACAGCTCTTTGCATGCGAGGCATCCCACCAGGGTTTTTGCAGACAGTGGGTGTGTGTGTCTGCGTGTGTGAGCGCATGTATGTATTAACTCTCCCACCTGCTTTGACTGTTCCAATGGCCCTCAGATGTGGTTTTGGCACCGGCCCACTGTAGCAGGAAGAACAGACGAACAGGATGTTTGCATTATTTAAAGGTGAAGCCATAAAGGAGAAAGCCGTGAGTCTGTACCCAGAGTATAAATTGGAGTTTTCTCCAGTTTCTCCTTTTTTGACTCATTTTATGTTTTACAACTTTGGTAAATTACTCTTAATGAAAAGCAGGACTCTTCTTTACACACTAAGCTTCATCTGTACTGTTTGTCCCTTTGAATGCAGGGTCATCAGTTTTCGTATTTGTGGGCGTTCAGTCAAAACCCTCCAGAGTGCATAAGGCTTTGAAGCTCATCTGAAACTGAAACCTTGCTCATATTTTTGTTTGACAATAAATTGTTAGTATCACAACTCAATTGAACCAAACGAAATGTCATATCCCAATTCCCTCCTGTTCTGCATCCTTGAGTTTCTGATCCTCTGTCATATTGCGAACAATTCTTTGAGTTATATTAATTGTTTTTCATACAAAATAATTGTAAGGGAGAAGGAAAATATAAGTGTGTTGTGCATATGCTTCAGTCCTAAATCTGAAGCATATTTGAACTACCAAAACATGAAGTAGACACTGAGGGTTGAGGACAAATTCATGTCTCACTTTTTGGACTTTTAGTTGCACAAAATGCTTAAAAAAAAGAAAAAGTATCTTCTTCCCCTCACCTTATTATTTAGTCTATTACATAAAATCCAAGTAGCAGTACTGTGACAAAGTCTGCAAATGTTCAAAGGGTATTAATATTTTTCCGAAAATTATATATTTAAGCATTTTGTAAATTGGTGAAACATTTTGGCTTTGTTGTGCTAAAGTAAATTATTAATTTAATCAACGTTTTTATTTTGAGAGTGCACATTATTTGTCTCATTCCTAATATGTCACCACCATTTATCATTTTTTTTTCTGAATTACTGAATGACATCTTGTCCAAAAGATCCAGTTATGATGAGCGAAGACGACCACGTCACCGTGAGAGTTCATGAAATAATCGTGTGCAGTGTGCTTTGAAAACACTTGGGTTGTGAACTGTGGTGAATGTTTCCATTTGATTATGGTGTAAAGTAAATCCTTCACACAAGTTTGGTAACTCCTGAGATTGATCAAATCATCAAAAAGATGCTAATTCGAGTTCTGAAACACATCCTCTGACCGCAGTCTAAGCCTCTCTGTGTGTTCCCCATCTGTATCCAAAGACCTGAAATCTTCTGCTTGCAATGCAATATTTCTATTCAGGACTCGCTCTGTGAATAAAATATTGTCACCTTTGACCTCTGTGGTTTCACCCTGTCTTTCTCCCCTCCCTTTCTTTTCCTTCTCATCATTACCTCCCTGGGGGATCCTCGTGTTTGTTCGCCTTCTCTCCTCTGGGATTATTTCTACTCCAGGGAAAGATGGCAAGTATCCTTTCTTTTTACTTTCATGTATGTTCTCCCACTCTTTGCCCTGTCACATTATTTCATCATCTCATGTTTATTTTTTTTTGTTTTTTTTAATCAATTAACTTTGCTCAAGTTGTGCACTTATTTGTCCAAATGTTTGTTATATGATAAATAAAATTTATCATGTTGTTTTTTTTTCTTAAATCTAATAAGCCTCCCTAACTGCTCATCATTATTGATTTAATCCTAAGCAGATGTGTGTATAACTATACCCATCATCTTTTAATGACTGGCACATCAGTATATAAAACATGATTACAAAGAGGTATTTTCACCATCTCACTAATTGGCACCCCCTTTCATACAGATGTCACCATTTTCTCCTTATAACTGCCTTATAAACAAAGCATTTTGTACCCATGTAAATAAAACTTTGTTTTTTTTTACAGAATGATGTTTGAATGAGAGAAACTGTCAAAAGTTCTGTTAAAATCTTACAAATAATTCAAGTTAACTAGATTTTGTATTTTTATTTATTATTTTTATCTTGATGCCAGTGTCTATTTGTTTTGGTTCTGATCCCAGCATGGGTCCACTGATTCTAATAAAACATTACAAATTATGACCCCCCCCTAATGAAACCAAAATAACTTTAAATGGCATTCCTATAGTAAATGGTATTTATGAAAGCCACATCACATTTCTGAGCAGCAGGGAGTGAGCAGAAAATCTGTTTAAATTGTTAGCTGTCAAAGCACTTTCTTTAGTCAAAACATTACACAAAACTGGAAAAATAGTTTTATGAAAAGCTGCACAACATTTCTCAAAATATAAACACACTTTTATTCAAAAGGCAAGCTATTTAGAAAATATCAAAGTAAGGTTTGACTATGCAAACTTTACTTTGCAAAGACCTTTGATATGTAGGTTTATCAAAGGCAGAGCAGTAAATAAATCTCAATAAAATACAAGATGTTTAACTGCTACAATGGGCTGCTGGTTTCATGCCACCTCCATTATTCTAAAAAATAATGGAGTTTTTTTATGAAGCTTTAAAAAACATTACAAAATGTAATTATGTAACTTATCAAAACTGTTCAACTTTGGGAAACAAACTGATCTGCAGATTGGAATAAAATGCCATCGTCCAAGTACCACATTGTGGTAAGAATTAATTAATCTGCAAACTGTCATTATGTGTTTTTCTTTAAATGTTTATGGGGTTGCTCTTCAAATATCTCTTTACCAAGAAGGTGTGACTTCTGCTCACTGCCAAAGGATTGTTAAAAATGTATTACTTTTTTTGTTATTCCCAGTGATGTCATCACAACAGCTTTATACTAACCTAACTGAATTAGTGATATTTATTCACTTATCTCTAGTTTCTGAGAGCCTGCTTGCAGACAAGTTTGATGAGTACGGGTATACATTTATTGCACCAAGGTATGTTTACATGTAACACATGTAAATCCTACTTTCACTCCCAGCATGACTGCCTTGACCGAGTATACCTACACATTTGATTCTGTTTTCCTCAGGATGTACTGCAGAGACTTGAAGCCGCCTGACAAGGAAACAAACAACACAGAGTACCTGATGGACTTCAACAATTATATTGACATCAAGACTCCAAACAACCCCATGTGTAAGTGCAATCATACTCTTTTCAGCCAGTGCTTTGCACGAAGAACCCTTTTCACACTTTATTGTACAACATCAACAAGCATATAGATAGGCCAATAAAATTTAATGAACATCATCAACGCTTCATCGCCCGCCACATTTTTTAATCCTCTTTGTAAAGTTGTTCAAGCTCAATCAGATTAGATGGAGAGATACTATAAACAAGCCTTTCCAAAAATTTAGGTATTTGTGGTTGTTGGGTACCACAATCCCCAGGAAAACCTTTGCAACTGTCTATTTTAATTGTTCAAACACCAAATATATGTTTAATCTGCATACATACACACAGAGGAGACTGTCTTGGCAACATCTACAGTCTTATGTCCGTTCTTGGGAAAGCAGTCAGTGCCAAGCAAAATGAATGCCACTCCTGCACTGGCCATTTTGCAAATACCAGCCGGTAGCATGTCAAGTATTATGTGAAGGTTTTTGTTTGTTTGTTTGTTTGTTTTTTTGTCATCCCACACTTTTGGGATGTAAGCTAAAAAGTTTATAGTTTTATTCTAGCAGAGCACCATCTTCTACATTTGCAGACGGTGAATGTGGAAGTTCGTCACATGGCGTGTGACGAACTCCAAGTGAGACTGGATTTGAATTCACCAATCTATTTGCTCTTGCTCTTTCTCAGGCCAGATTTGTGGATTGGTCCATTTGAGTTGTGGATGTCTGATGAAATCAAATGCCTAAAATAATTTCCAATATTTATGCAAACATTTCTTTATGAAACATATTCCATTTTCTGTCTTTTCAGTCAGAAAATGACAGATGTCATTTTGTGACATTTTTCACATAAAATTGCAATAAAGACTCATGTTGTTTTTAACAAGATAAAACAGGAAATAATGTGAATGAAACATGGGAATTTGTCTTTGCCACGTTTGCTTTAGCGTCGTAAATGAATCCCTGCCATCGTACTTTAAGCAATAAGCATTTAATGCGAGTTCTCCAAGTGACCATGCTCCCAAATCTGTCATTCCACTGAGTTTTGGCCGGATGGTTTGGTGTGCATGACCTGGCAAAGCTTTTTAATGTGGAACCCCCTCCCTTCATGTTACCTATTTGATGCTAACTCCAAAGATTTGACCATCACATGCCTGGCTGCACATGTGTGAGGCACATCGGCTTAGCTGTGACACACACGCACACAAGCTGGCTTTCTCGCTCACACACACACACGCCATCCAACCAGTTATATGCCTCCCACACCCCTCCTGTAGCCGCTCGACCTCATCCAATTACTGTGTGTTTGTGAAAAAGAGCAGGACACATGCAGCCCAGAGTGCGAGCAGAGCAATAAAACACAAATCAGGTCCGACGGACCTTCTCCGTGACATCTGACCAACGCATTACCATCCTTACCCTTTCTGGCATACTCTTATTGATATGAATTACCCATTTGTTGGCGCATTGAGCAAAGCAAAATGTTCCCTGGACATTTATAAAAGGGCTCTTTTATTGCGTTCCATTGTTTAATTTGATGGTTTGCATTTAAGGACTTACTTCAAACATCTCAACATGATCAATCCAATAAAACTTTTCACCCAGTTGAATTATTACCTCCACCGTTATTAGCTGCTAGTTTAATGGAGTCCACAGAGAACCACAAGGGAGAGCAGCGCGGCCCATGTGGAGGATTGGCGGCTCAGGAATCGTTACACGCTTTACGCGGTTAAGCCACTGCAGTGGCGAAGAAGTACATTAGGAATTCCTGGGCTGCCTTCAATAAAGAATCCCTAATGAAAACCACTGGATGGTGGGCTCGGAGGGGACCAAAGTGTTACACCAGCTGTTCTGTCTGATGTGTGAGGCGTGCCATAAAGACTGGGGGAGGTGGCGGCGGAGGTGTATCGGCGAACCCTGACGTTTATGGACTGGAGCGGGTCGATGGTGGGTTCAAAGAGCCAGGAACGGCCAAAAAAGGGGCAATCCCTTTTATCGCCTCTTATGTTTGTCATGTGGTCTTGTTGGATGTCTGCAAAAGTATTCTTTACACCTGCACCACTTCACCACCTACACCACAGAATTTTGAATAGCAAAGTTTTTTTTTTTCCTATAACTTTGCTCCCTTTTGAGCCTTTTGGGTGTTTTTAGTCCTGAGGTTTAATTATTTTGGTTGCCTGGAAATTGCAGAAAATGTATTCTGTTTAAGCTCACGCTCCACTTTTTTTAATCCATCTCATTTTTTTTCCAATATCTGTAATTATTCTTCAGTCATTTCATATTAAATTCTAAAATTGTAGATTTAAGTAATCTGCTTTTTTTTTCCACTTAGGTAACGTGGAGCTTGTAAACCGGCTTCTCCTTGATGCCGGCATCACCTCTGATCTGATCAAGATCTGGAAACAGAATGAGTTGCAGTGAGTAAAGCGGTCATATTTGCTGTTTGGTGATGCAGATGGTTTGAATATTTCAACATCACCTGTAAATGTCAAGCATGCATAAAACATATTCCAGGTTTTTGTTACCATGTTCTTATAGCTGCATTTTCCCTGCTTGTCAGGCAGGGTGTCACTGCCAGATTTGTGGCGACTGATGGAGGAATCACTCGTGTCTTCCCCAAAAGGTATTTAGGAAATGAGATTCACAAATTATTTTTTATTTTTTAGTTGATAGATATTTCTGAATGGCAGTAGGTTCATGTAACACCCTGTGGTAAGACTCAAAAGACAGATTGGCACTGCCATCTAATATCAGAAATCACATTTCCAAAGGATGCAATCAGAATCTTTTGATGTTACTGTAAAGTTTTAATATTTTGATGCTGATTTTTCGGTTCCCACTGACAAGTCAGAAAAACTTCAACCTCCTCAGCTTTTAAACGCATTTTCTTATTCACAAAATAGTGACAGGTAAAGGAATTTTCTCCCTTTGCCAAAATTTCTTGAACTGAAGTTTATAAAATTAAAAACATGTCATCTTAAAAATTCATGAATTACTGAAAGTACTACTGTGGACTTTGTAATGGAAATTCACTGCAACGGGATTGCAAGAACGTAAAATTTAAATTGTTTTTCAAAAAGTTTGCATGTTCAACAGCGCCGGGCTGGACTGGAAAGAAGAAGCAGAGACCTACGAGTCGAGTTTTTACAAGCGAAGTTTAGACAATGACGTGTACATCTTTACGCCAACACGCTGCAACGGTAAACCTGTCAAAAATCAGGCACTATATAATCTGACTTGCTTTCTAAAAAGATGCTTGTAAAAAAAAAAAAAAGATAAATTTTTCTGTCTCTTTCACACAGAAAGTGATAACGATGTCCTGGTGAGCCGAGCAGTAAACCTTGAAATTCGCAACATTACACTCAAGCCAGCTGGTAAGCAGCATTCTAATGTTTAAAACTGATTTATTTTTTGAAGCCTCTTTGCCTACTTACAGCGGTGCCTCTGTCTTGTTAGACACCTACATTTGCAACCATCGAACCAAAGTTTTATCATCCACAGTCACACTCTTATTTCATATCCGCCACCCCTCATTCATCTGTTTCTCCCTGCTCTCTAACACATACACAAACCACACATCAAGTCATCTCATCGCCTGTGATCTTTAGCCAAGTTTAATTTTCAGATTCAAAGAGTAAAGTTGACACAAAGGACCAGTATGATCTAGGATGTCTGTATTTTATGTTATGTTTCTCCTTCTTCTTCTTTTTTTTTTTTTTTTTTTTTTTTTTTTGCTCAGTTGTTGGTGTGAAGTTGGACATCTATGCGTGGATGGAGAGCTTCATCAACATCACTTACAGGATGAATGTAAGTAGATGTTTATCAGAATGAAGTGTTCAAGCATAGCTCAGTGTCAATGTTTGACCCTTTTCTGTTTCTCTGTGTTTGAAGTGCAAGGATGAAATCTGTGGTTGTAAGAAAGATGATCCGGTAAGAGTGGCTTTTATTATCTTTTTTTTTTTTAAATACATCTTTTGGGGTGTTTGAAACAACATAGTGGCGCATCTGCATAATCATTTCTGTGATTTCAGTATATAGACTGTGTCGTTCTGGACGATGGTGGATTCCTGGTGATGTCCAATCAAGAGGACTATGTCAATCAGGTGGGCCTTTGTATTTTAATTCAGAATTGCTTGACATCTTAGCAGTGTTAACTCAGATATCTGAATCTCTAATTTTCCAAAAGGTTGCAAGCTTCTTAAGTTTAATCCAGTGATAAGTTTATGAGATGCTTTTGACTAAATCTCTATCCACACTGCAAAAACACAAAATCTTATCAAGTGTTTTTGATCTAGTTCTAGAGCAATTGTCCATTTTATTTACGACATAAAGAAAAAAAATCTCATAAGTGGAATAACCTGTCAATGAACTAATACTTTTACTTCAATATTAAGGACTTATTAAAACGAGCTCCTGTGTCTTGCTGAAAAGTCATTTGCCTATTAGCACAGTTGAAATAAAACAAGACTAAGATATTTGTACTAGACACTACACCAAAAATACTTGGTAAGGTTTTGTGTTTCTGCAGCGTAAATATCATTATTATTACAATATTAGATAGATCAATTCTTTATAGGCCATTTAAAATAGACACAAATAAGTTAATCAAGGATATTCGGGTCCACATCAGGTTATAAATGTATTTTTAATTTAATACATTTTTATATGAAGACATCCAAAAAAAATCAACATGGACCATTTTGTCTATGAAACACACCTGATCACCTGAATTATATAAATGTGCAATATATGTTCTGTTGCTATTGTGGTAATGAGACTTATCTATTTCTTCACAAACTTGCTTATTTTGAAAAAAATATGTATTTGGTGGAGAATCGATTTCTGGGCAGTTTTCATTAATCATTGCTCCTATAAGCAGGACCAAGCTTTCATCTTCAACTTTACCATTGTAATCAAATATCATTTAGTATCAATTTGCCTTTCGAAATGCAAACACTTGTACTCTTGAAGCTGCTTCAATGGATTTTGACCCAATTTACACACACACACATGCAAACGCAACCACAGAAAACATAGCGACAACACCCCTGTTTTCTTGCGCTAAATGCTAACAGTGGACCACTGATGTCATTTGAGAAAATCTTTTTTTTTTTTTTTTCTTCATGCAGCTTTGACTCTGTCCTAATCAGGGCTGGGTGTCCGTTGGATAAATCAGCTGTCCTCTGATGTTTGGCAGCCGTACTAAAAAGCCAGCAGCCTTGTTTGTAGAGGCCTGTGCGCGCTCAATCATATTTCCTTGAGGAGCAAAACTTCTTTCCCACTTTATGACTTTCTCTCCCCAGCTCATTCCTTTTCATAATCCTAAGTACCTTCTGGGAGTCTGCAGCCGGCGAGGCTGAGATCGTTAATTCATTATTTTCTCTTGCTGCGCTGAGAAAGAGTAGAAGGCTCTCGTTACCTTATGGATTGGAAGATTTATATATCGTTTGCCTAGAAAGTGGAAAGCTTGTGTGGAGGGGCCGCTTGTTAACAGTGACCCTACAAAGTGGAAGGAAAAGGATAGTTTGCATTTCCTAAAGTGCTCACACATGCATTTAAGCACATGTGCAACAAGATACTTACTGTATGTGAGAGCTCCCACCTGGATACATGCGTACTTAAACACTTTCGAACACGCAGTCATGTCACACCTCTGAGATTACAGCTGCTTGATGGACTGTTTTCACTATATTGTAATGAAGTCTGTCATCCTGGTTTCAGTGTCTGTGAAATCCCTGTTCAACCATGCTGTATATACATTGTATTAAGGAAATGGCTGTAATGCTTTAACATTTACTTAGAACTGCAAACTTCCAGATATTTTTGATCTGGAATTGCACCTCGTAAGACAAAGCTGTGTTGAATTTCAAAGTAGAAAGAAGCTTTGAACATTTCTCATATTTTTCTTACTAAAATGGAAGGAGGATGACAAACCTTTCAAATTTTTAAACAACTGAACTGACAGGCAGGGTAAATTCAGTGATAATCAAGGAAGTAGCCAATAAACTGATGGTAACTCTGCAGAATATTTCCATCCTGCACTCCACAATCTGGAGTTACTACTTGCAAAAACCCTTCCCTAAAAGAAAGTAAAATGCGAAGAAGTTCATAGATCATGAATTCTCAGTCTCAGTAAAGTCAGGTTTTTCTACAAGGTGTACTTTATAGGTGTTTTTCTCATTCCAAAACAATTTAATTGGCCTTTGTTTCTGAAATTGTTTTCCCCTGTAAGTTTTGAGGTCACGCAGTCACACACCGGGAGACTTTGCCTCTGGGCCTGAGGCAAATTTTCAGTCTTCTACTCCGTTTTTGTTTGGAATCAAGTTTCTTTTTAAAAACTCCGTGCCATGAACCCTGCACTCTCCATCGAGAGTGAAGCGAATACCGAAGGAAACTCTTCCTCCCTGTGCCCAACTTTAGATTGGCTGTTTCTTTGGTGTCATCGACCCTGACCTCATGAGAACTCTGGTCAACTCGTCGCTGTTCACCGCCAAGAGCACCTACGACTACCAGTCTCTCTGTGAGCCCAAGAGAGAGAGCAAAGCGGCTGCAGGCCTGCGATCCATTTATGTGGTGAGTTACACAAGCCAGAGACCGTCCACACAAAACACCCAGGGCCATGTTCACACCTTTCCATATCCATACATGTTCTTTTTACTAATTTGCGTGCATGAGCAGAGAGATGAATGCAAGTGTAACGATTTGAACTTATATTTGCCCGCTCACACACACAAAGGTCATCAGTCACCAGGGAGCCATAAATCTGGATATAGCAAATGACGGGATGGAGGGGGTGGGGGAATAGAGAAACATGGTGAAAAGTGTTTGAGTGGGAGTTGCTGTAACAGTAACAAGATTAGGTGGTCTAATGTGTTTGAGTAACACATGGGGAAATGCAGAAACAGGTACTGCTTTACATCACTTCCAGAACGCACAAATTGGAGCAAAACGGCGCAGATTGCATGCAGAGATCACAGCGACAGCTGAGTTTCTCTGGGTGCTTCAAGGTTCAGACAAAAGCTGATTCCCAGGAAAGAAAAAAAAAAGTGTTTACCGTCCTCATCAATGGACAGATGAAAATGTGCAATTTCCCGTCCTGATCTAAAATGTGTACAAAACACTGGATTGATCAGGATAGGATGAAAGGCATATTCAGTGATCAAAGGCCCCTTCAGCGGTGGGTGATGCCTGTAACACGGTCGGTTTAAAAACTCCTTGATGACTCAACCTGCCATCAACTGGAGTGCAGGAATACGGCAGCGACTCTCCAAAACAAGGCTCTCGCATGCTAACCCTAATCAAAGCAGCATGTTGGCTCTTTCCCTCAACCCATTGGCTACTTTGTTTTCTTGCCGGTGCTTTGTTTGCATATTTACTCTTGCATCTGCTCAGGAGAACTGCGTTCTAATTTCCTCAGAGAAGAGAAGAAAATAAAACTCTTTGGCTGGGCCTGTTGGTATTTGTGCCTTATAAATCTGAGCAGCCACTGTGAAAATAAACAGGATGTGCCTAGGATGATTTGTTAAACTCTTCATTCACTGTCTGTTTTTTGATATTTGTTTCCCTGTGCCTCTTCTAGCCCACAATAGCAGATATATTGAATTTGGGATGGTGGGCGACAGCTGCAGCCTGGTGAGTCATTTTTAGTTTATTTTTCCCTAATATGGATGCAATTAGATTCATTCCCCTCCCCCTTTTTTCGTACAAATTCAAACATCTTAAAGCCAACATTGTAAATCCTTCAGTCCAGTTCGTAATGAAAAGCAGCCAAGGATTTGTTCCTCCAAATGCACATACAGTATAGCATCTGTTTCATAGATAAATTGTTCCCAAGATGGTTAACATTCCACAAAATCTTCCATTGATTTGTGCTCCGTCCCACTGTCTTGATGTCATCACCAGCTTGTATTACAATATGTCCTGTAAAGCTGAATTTGAAGGCCACAGACAGTGAGGCTGTATTCACAGCCAAAACCTTACATTCATATGTTTTTAATTGGAAAAAGACGCAATTGAGCCTTTGAGTCACTTTGTTGCTAGTTTGCAGTTTGGTTTGGACGACTTTTATTTGCGTACAAAATTTTGTTTGAACTTTCCGGCTAAATCGCAATAAATAACCAAATCAAAAAATTTAATTTCATGAAGTGGAACTTGTATCTCGAATAAAATTGTTTTATTGTCTTTAGCCATAAATTTTGATATCTATGAGATTTCCAACCAATGAAAAAACCCACATTCAGTTTCTCAAAAAAGTAAATCTGTACATATAACTAATAGAGTAAAACAAACAAGAATTTCTGTAGAATGTAACTCGAAGTGCTTGGCAGAAAAGTAACAAAAAGAAACTGAACCAATGCATTAAAAGTATAGCTGTAAGACCAAAGCGGTACATAAAAGAACAATGAAATGCATATCATGAACAAATAACTAGGTCAGTAAGAATAAACTGATAAAAAATGTTTTTAGTCCTGATTTAAAGAAGCCATCAGTTTCTGCTCATTTCATGTTTTCAGGGAATTTATCCTTTAGCTCAGCACCATGGAAACTAAATGCTGCCTCACCTGGTTTGTATTTGGCCCTGGGAACACAAAACAGGTCTCTGATAACCTGAGGGGGGTCCATATGGTTCCTACTTGACCATCAATTGAAATGTATTGAGGCCTGCATTCAGAGCCTTACAAACCAACTTTATTATTTTACAAATAGTCGGTGCAGTGATTTAGGGGCTAGTAACCAGATTTTTACCCCCCGGTGGGGCCAGGACTCTTGGAGCAGCAATTAGAATGAGCTACAGCTACCCAATTCTTATTTTATTTTTATTATTTTAGCTTCATTTTTTTTTTTTTTTTTTTACAATTATCTGTATGGACACTATTCCTAAAATATATACTTATTCTGACATGAATCCCATTATAATGGAGATACTTTTAAATTGGTGACAGGTTGAGATAATTTACTTTCTGTGGATGTCAAAATTTAGGTGTAACTCTTTAGCTACAGCCAGTTGCTGTTGTTTTTTTGTTTGTTTGTTTTTTTTGTGGTCGCGGGTGGGGGTCGGGGGTTGTATGTCTTAGAGATTTAATCATATGGTCATTTGTTCTGTAGTTTGGTACCAAAATGGTTGCTGTTTATGTATTTAGAGAGATGAAATTCTGACAGATCCACTCATGCGTTCTCTCATTGACTCAAAAAAATATATAGTTGTGTTTCATCAGCTAGCAATTATAAATTTTATTTTATTTTTTTTAATATTCTATCATTGGGCATCTTGGCAAAACATTGATAGTGATAAAGCAATGGTCAGGTTCTACAAGGCCCAAGAGTAAAGACTTGTAGAACCTTTCATGTAATTTTTTATTATTTTTTTCTCAGATTTAGGACTGCCAAGTAGTCTTGATTTGCACATTGTGACCAGTGCAAGATACCGTCTTTATTTTTCAGGAGAAAAATAAAGACGGTATCTTGCCATAATAATCAAAATTAACAAAAAATATTTGCTTGAAATATTTGTGACTAATTTATTTTTGAGTTTCACCATTTGAACTAAGTTACAATTTGTATTCTAAATGATTGAGATACACCTTTGAATTGGTTGAAATATTTTGATTGCTTAATATTCTGTCTTTTGAACTTGTCTTTGCATTTAGGTCAATTGTGCAACAGTTGCTGGTCAGCATCACGTTCCCAAATTTTCTGGATGCAGGTGAGTGTGTTTGATTTAATTTTTAAAATGCTTTCCTAACTTTAAATCTGGGTTTTTGGTTCATTAAAAAGGGCTTTGAAGCTTTAAGTTAGATGATGGCTCAGAACTCATCCATCAGATGTAAATGGTTTGTTACAGTATTGCTTTTGGGCTCATACTTATTTTGTTCTTGAAATTAAACATTGTAAACTCAATCAAACCCTCCTCTTGGGATAGATTCGATTGTTGTACATGTGAAGCAGATACACGAGGTGCCGGGTTTAGTGTGGATACAAATGAAGTATCAGAACTGACGGATCACAAACGACTTCAGAACAAAGCCTGAAGAACAGGCTCGTCTGTCTTGTGATGAAGATGTTCCCTTGTTGGATTAATTCTCTTTCCTGCCATATGGATCCAGTTTTGGTTTAATAAAACACAGTTCTGAAGTAAGTTTTCTGTTGCCACTTAAAATTTGTGTCACGACTGAATTTTACAAGCAGAAATTTGCAGGAAGCACATGTTCTTTATTTAGTTTTATTTTTTTGTGAATATGTTCTTGTTGGCTGTTGTAAACGTTACTTTGGTTCCAGAATAACATGTAGAAAATAACATCTTTGCTGCAGGAATCAGAATTTGCAAAGGAACAGTATAACATGGACATCTTTACATGCTTAATAAATATATTCGAATTCGAGAGTTGGATTTTTATAAATTTACTGTGAAGTTCTCACTGCAACAAAAAATTATTTAAAAGCTTTTGACATATTAAATTTGTTGGCATCTGTAACGTTACAGCCATATTTGTTTCTTCTTTGCTCCTACAGTAGCCTGTAGTCTACTGGTTGAAAATGTAGCTCCACATATGTGTTGTTATCTAAGCTGATTATATCGTTGCAATTTTTAATCATAAAGTCAATTTCTACATGCTCTCCAATCACCCGACAGCTGAAACGGACGATCAACTGTCGGATGCAATGTCTAAGGAGGTGTGCATCACAGAGCAAACGCAGTACTTCTTTGAGAACAATGAGTCATCATTTGGAGGCTTGTTTGAGTGTGCAAACTCCACCAGGTAAAGTGTGTCACACAACATATCTTAGATTTATTATTTCCAAAATTTACTTGTTTGGAATTGCAATCAATTCTAGTATAGTTAGTCTTGCAGGCAGAAAAGAAAACAAAAAACATGAGGCACCATTCCTGCATCTTCCTCTGTATCCGTTTTGGGTTAAATTTTCCACTTCCCACATGTCCTGTGAGGATGTTTTAGAGAGACTGTGTCTTTCCTCGACTCAGGCTCTGAGTCTCATCTCTCTTCTGTGTATCTTCTCTTTTCTAGGCAATACCTGGCTGAAAAGGTGCCAAATACAAACCTGGTCTTGATCATTAGTGACAGACAACAAGGCAACAGCCAGTCGTGTGGATTGGGGCCGTTAATACAGGATGAAAAGCAGTGTATCCTTTAAAAAAAAAAAAAAACTTTATACAGCAGAGTATGTGTGCATTTACTTCAGTGAACAGGTGTTTAAGAAAAACTTGTGCAAAGACGGTCGTAATAAGAGCAATAAGTTCCCGCCACAACTGACTTTTCCAAATTAGCACAAATTTCCTATTGGCCTGCTTTGTGTCTTTGTCTGTATAGCACATGGCCGAGAGATCAGTCTGCCAAGAAGCTTACAAACAAATCTAAGATGATCTTTCAAACACTCAAGCCTGCATTCAATTATGGAAGGAGCTTCTTGGAAAACCCAATGGACCCAATATCTCCATGACGCCTGCCACGTCATGGAGATATTGAGCAATGTGCTCAAAATCTACGTTTTAAATATTTGATGTTCTTTCAGGTCATTTGGTTTGTAGCATAGTCTGCTGCAATCAGAGCTTTCCATATGAAGAGAATGGATTTTTTGTTGTTGTTTTTTTTTTGCTGAAGCACTCTTTAGTTGTTATGGTTTCTTATCCGACTCTCTTAGCTGCTGGGCCGGATCCTTGTAAAATGGCTCTTAGTCCTCGCTTCAGGAAAGGCCCAACAGATTGCTTTGATAAAACTGAGCACGTAAGTTATTTTTATTATCTTTTTCGTCAGATCACTGACAAATGTTTGTTTTGTCTTCAAAAGTATTAATTTTCTGTACATTTTTTCTCAACACATGCACAATTTCCAAAAAAAAGATCATAAGAAAGAGAATCTTTAGAAGACTGAAACAGCATACAGTGACTGTTTTTGTTTTTCTTCTTTTATTGAAGTTTTCTCTTCCTTTAATAGCACACACATTTGAAAATAGCTTAAACAGCGGTATTCTGTAAACGGTGGGTTTATAGCTGTCCGATGCTGCAGGAAATAGGACATATGAGGGCAGTTAAGGTAAATCAAGACCTACGGTAAGTTTGTGAGCTGTTGAAAGACGCTAGAATTTGCCACAGAGTTGAGTGGAAGTGCAGGTCCAGGTGATAACTCCCGGTGAGTAGTTCTGCAGTTTCCCAGTTTCAAATTGCATTTTGTAATTTCATCCACAGATGATTCATAGATGTTAGAAACTTTCATTTAACATCTGAAACATTGGAATTGGAAATAGAAAGGATACATATTACAGTTCTTGCACATATTCCATATCATGTTAAGAAGTTTAGAAATTTGAAGAATCTCCAACTTGATATGTGTATCCAGCTATGGACTCTTCATCTGTCCGTCTATCAATCTCTCAATCATCCACACTGTAATGCATACAACATATAGTTTGTCCTCCATCTATTCAAGTCATCAAGATTGATTATTATAAGTTAAACAAACATACAAAAATCTAATTTGTTCCTCTGTTCATCCTACCATTATCAATCTATTGGTTGCTTCGTCCATCCATCCACCCACCACTTTTTTTTTATTGACAGGTTGGTTATTTAAAGGGTTGCCATTGTAGGAAAAAAATGTCTTCTTTCTCTTTACTTTTATGTTTAAGATTATTAAAAATCAACTCAGTAAAATATTTTTAACTCACTAGAAAAAAAATTGTCTGAAGGGGCTTTGGTTTAAAATTTACCAAAGTGGTTTTTTAAGCCTGTAAAAGTGCGAAGGAACCCTGATATAGACAAAAGTAAAAAATAAAAAAAATACTGTTTCCTGTTTGACTTTCACCCCAAAAATGAAAGGTATAGCAACAAATTAGAGAAAATGAAGCCAATTCCAGAATAATGTTTAAGTTTATTGGAAAAAAAGGAAATTCCTCTCATTACGTTTCGCTGAGTATATTATGGAGGATATAGTCTGTCACTATCTTCACCTGATGCACGTCACACTTTCTTGTTTCCCAAAAGAGAGGTCCGTGTGACGGTTTCCCATGCCGAGATAAACAGTCGGATGTTCTAAGAATTAATGAATATCTCGGCCAAACAAACATTTTTCTGAGCTGCACAGAATCTTTGCGTGTGAAACCTCAAGGCTGGAGCACTCCATTTATTTTGATTCTATAGTCCTTTTTCCAGTGTCAGTTTGACATTCTCACAAATGATCTCCTACGCCTGCTTTGTCTCTCTCACTCACACAAATGCAAACACTCACCCACGCACTAACTCTTATTGCCTCTTAATTGAACGCATCTGACTGTTTTTTTTTTTTTTTTGTATTTTTTGATATGCATCTTTCACTCTGGAGCTTTCTGCTTATGTTTGATTTCTCACTTTGACCTTTTGCTGCATGATTCACATTCTCTGCTTTCTCTCTGTCCTGCTTTGTGATTGTCTGTCGATGGTTAGGATGAGGCCATGTGCCGAAGGAGCGCTGGCTCCCCATTGGCTTCCTCTCTGCTCATGTTACTGCTGCCACTGTTCATGTGCTGTCTCGGGTCAGTCGCGCAAAGCAAGTTCTCCGTCTCTCATGAACATCCCGTTACTTTCTGACACTGAATCTAACCGTTTTTGGCTTTCATGTCTTGTACTTTTTTTTTTTTTTTCCCTAGTCCTCAGTTTGTTTTCCTACCCTTATCTCCTCTCCTGCTTTTTTCAAATATCTGCTCTGTTCCATGACTTCATGCCTTTTTGCATTGTTTTCCCACACTTGTCCTCATCGCCTGTCACTCGCTCATATTATACTACTGTCTGACTTCATCTCCTTGTCTCTGTCTGTCTCTCCTCAATATATTCCCCATCTCACCTGACTTTGAACTGCAAACCATGCTCTTTGTATCTTTCCTCATCTATCACTATCTGTCTTGAGGTACAGAGACTCCTGTGCCGCTGGTGACTCTTGACATACCCAGACACCAGCAAAAACAGATCACTCACCTCTCATTTGCAACCACATATTCATGTTTCTCAACTTGGTTTCCATTTGCCAAAAAGCTTCAAAATTGGCTTTTACTGTGGTATGCATACATATAAAGTTTGGTCATAGTGGTTTGAAAAAGTACTTGCACAGAATTGCAAGTTCTCAAAGGTATTGCATACAGTTTTTCACATTTTCATATTAAGTTCCAATATTTTTTTATGTTTTACTTGTGCTCCTCAATGGACTATCTAGTTAGAAAACTGCTACTTTTCTAATTCTCTATAGACATGAAGCTTGTCAATAGGGAACATAAGGAGGTTCAGTCTCAAGTGCGATGTTTAATTTCAACCTTATTTATAATGACGCCAAAGCTTGTATTTATTTAACATATTTTCTTACACAGTAAAATTAGTGAACCACTGTCCTAATTCACAAATCCCCCTCATCATGAACATTTAAATTGTTAAAAGCTACCAAAAAAATTTAAAAACCAATGAGAACAATGTCGGAAGCTGTTGGAGAGGAGACGTCTGCAAACATTTAACCTTTTAAATAATAAATATCATTGATACAAGTTGTGATTTCAGGGGTAACTGTAGAACGTCACACTTATTCATAATTTGTGTTACTCCACCAAAGTCCTGGTTTGTTCACATCAACATTCTGCAGCTCCAGTCCTCGAGGGCTGGTGTCCTGTGACTTTTGGATCCATTCCTGCCCTAACACACCAGAATCAAAAGACTGACATTCCGCCTTGGTATGTCAGCAAGTTTCACAAAGTCTTTGTCACAAAACATTCATTTTTGTTAATGATGGAGGACCCAAACGATGCAGGATACCGGCCGTAAACGGGAGTTGCAGACCCCTGCTCTACATCCTCAACAGCTCCTCAGTCCTACTGTCCCGCGGCTTTTCTTTTTGTTTTCTTCTGCTGCATCGCATGTGAAAACATTTTAAATAACTTAACGAGTTATTGAGTGATGTTCAGCGTATTGAAGCAGTCAAACATGAAAGAACTCAGGAAAGTGTGCTCTTAAGAACATGGATGATTCCCTGTACATGAACCATCTGTTCTCAAAACTACTGTCATGACAAGAACACGTTTTTGGTTTTCTTTCACTTTGTGATTTATTTAAAGTTTAGATGGCTCCAGATACTCTTGATTTAAATTATGACATGATGACTAAATACATCTTTAGAAATTAATCCACTCCAACTTACTACTCTTTCAACAGACAGCAGTAGCTCGAAAGTCTGATTCAACACAGCAAGTTTAAACATTTTCAAATTATTAGACAACTTTAAGTATTTTTTTTTTCTTCTTCCTTCCAGGAGGAGGACCCAGACTGTGGCGGGGTGTCCTGCCTGACCTCCTCACTTTGGCTGATGGTGGTCAGTCAGGTGGTGTTGCTCTGGGCTGTGACTGATTCCAGGCACTATGCCATCCCATCATGACCTCAGAAAAACATGATCTAGCCCTTTACCTTCACTCCCACCAGATGAACAAAATGGCTACCAGCATCCAGAGCTGCCACCCAAAGCAAACAGCTGCTCGGAAAAAAAAAAAAAAAAAATTAATTAATTAAAAAAGAAGAGACTGAATTTCTTGTTTTCAATTCAGTGTCTCAAAGTGTCTTCATTTGGGTGATGTGGACGAAAACATTTGTCGGAGGACAAAAGGGAAAGTGATTGGACTTCAACTATGACACTTGTTTCTTCAGCTGAGAAATGAAGATATTCATCGTGATTACCAACTTTCCAACAAAATCTGTTTGTCTCTGAAAGAGATCGTTTTAAGCATTGGTTCAGTGGCATGCATCATGAGTGGAGTGGCTCGACTATCAAAGAGACAGAGTAATTTTTACCAGGAAGAATATTATCTTTAGCCAGAATAAAGGTTAAGAAATGACTTGCAGTGCTTAGTGTTTTTTCTGATTTTCAACTTTCTACAGCAGAAGCAAAGATGTACTTTTTTTTATTTTATTGTCCTAGAGATACTTTGAGAGAATACCACATTTTCGCGATGTCTCTAACAGTCTGATTTTCCACTGGCATAACCCATCTCCCGAGCGGAAACCATATCCATAACTACGTTTATTCACAGAAGCCAACTCCTCTACTGCCACAGAGCGCGCGTTTATGGGTGTTGAGTTTTAACGTTCGAGTTAATTTTTGAAATTAGCTCTGGAGTTATGTGTTTGAATTTTTGTTTTGTTTTAGGATTGTTCCAGGGTAGTCTTTGTTGCCATAGCGCACATTAACCAATCAGGATCTCGTGTCCTCTGTGGTTCAGTGGACAAAATGTCTAGTGCCATGTGGACTGTGTGACTCAGACAAACCCTCTGTAGGCTGTAGCTGCTCAATGGAGTGTACTGTTGACTATATTGACTCATGTATTGGTTATTTGAGTGAAGTGTCATGCATTAAAGAATCTGAATGAGGGGTAAGCAACATTTTCTCTGGTCATAAAGGCTACATTTATATATATATTTTTGCTGTTGCCGTATAATTCTACTGCCTGCACTGATATCCAAGTGCATGTTGGTCTCTTCAATTATTTTATAGTCCTGTTTCCGAAACTGATCTCTCTGTGGAAATTCAATGGAGGACAGAAAAAAAGACGTCTTAGATCATTTTAGGTTCTTTTTTTAATGTTTGAAAGTTGCAAATGTTTCTCAGCGGTAGCAAGAGTTCTGCATTCAGAAATAGAGCAACACTTCCAACTGTCCAGAAAGTGTTTTCCCCTTTTTTTAAGAAAGGCAAAGTAAGTTCACATTGATTGACATAGCTACTACTTAATAAACCAGGTTTTAATTTACGTTTGTCAGGAGTTTAGCAATTGGCCCATTTAATAGATTAAATTGAGTATTCTAATGATTTGCTTATTTTTGCAGTTCTTTGGTTACATGCTATTCCTGTTTCTTTAAATTACCTATAGTACATCAGCATTCTTAATTCTTTTGACTTTCATTTATTTTATTTTTTCTTTTCTTTTCAAAAACGGGCTGCTGTTGAGGACATTTTAGTTTTTTGTGCCTTGTTCTTACATTTGTCAAGATATCTTATACGCCTCAAAATTTTAACATTTATCACATTACAGCCGCAAAAATCTGTTTTTTTGTACATTTCTACTTATTCTTCGCCCTCAAGTCAATGCTTTGTTGAAGCTCCTTTTGCTGCAATTACACTTAAAAAGAGAATTCCCTCCCGATCTCAAGTCTTTTGGTCTCTAGCAGGTTGTCCTGCCTGGACTCATTCTTTTAATCTTCCCATTAAGTCCAACCAACTTCCATGTCTTTAGTAAAGAAATGTCCTTACAGCAGGTTGGGTTCAGATTGAAGTGCTACTTTTCTACAAAGGTGGATTATGTTGATTAATCTGTGAGGTCTGAAAGCCTGGGGTCGCTTTGGTTTTCACCTACAGATATAGCATTAATGTTCTGAATACTTATGCTGATGCATTTAGTTTTATGAATACATGTTTTGTTTCTGCTTCCTTCCACCTCATCTGTACACTACAGTGGCGTGTCAAAGAAATTCACAGTTCAATACATAGATGTTTGTGATTTGCACGCTGACAAAATGTGGCAAAATTCAAGGCTTATGAATATACTTTCCAGACACCCAGTTTATGCAAAATACAACTTTATATTTAAAAAAAATATAAGTTTATTTATTGAGGCCACTTTAAAAGTAAACAGAAGTATAATCTTATTTTTTAGAAGAATTAATTTCATGAATGCACTAATTGAACATTGCTTCTGAGCAAAACAAATCTGCCAGCTTGTTGAGTGAAAACAAATCAAGTGTCGGCCTTTGAGAGCCACATTGGAAATCTGGGCTTCCCACAAGACTAAGCGTGTCAGAAATGATTTGTTTTTGGTTACTAATTTATGCATTTGTAATGTCAGGAGGATTTATGGACTATACCCCAAACAGGCTGGAGGTCGTGCATCATAACCGAGCTTTAAATTCTCCTCATGAAAACGTTCTTTTAAAAACAACAAAAAAACTTTACTTGATGCTTTTTCTTTTCTTTACATGCAGTTTGAGAATCAGGAATTTGTTGATCTCCCTGCGAAACTGATGCGTGGTTAAAAAAGTAATGCATGTCAGTCAGATATAAGATGATTCGCCATTGTGTACTCTTTAGTGGCTGATGACGCATATAAAATAACTGACGCTGCCAGTGTCGTTACATTTGAAAATGATCCCTCCTGTTCACATTTTACATCAGATATTCTGTTAGAAACTGAATATCCAGTGGCTCTGGGAAAAAAAAAGTTTGTCATGCACTTGAAAGGGGTTTTGTGTGCAAGTATAAGATGCATGAGTGCAGTAATAATTTTTATGTACTGATCAAAAAAAAAAAAAATTGGACAATTTGCTTTCTTTCATTTTTAACCATGAACATCTTTTGATTTTCAGTTGATTAGTTCATAAGCAAGGATTTTATTTCTGTGTGACAAACATTTGTTGGCGACAGATGAGTGAGTTTTTGGCATTATCATAAAACCAAAACTCATATAATCATCCACTTTGCAGGCTGATTGAGGTGAACTTTTCATTCTGAAGGTATTTTCTGTAACTTTAGACTTCTAACAACATTGTAGTTACAACTGTACCTATTCACCTCTTTAACCATCAGAAAGTGCCATATAGTTGAGCTTGTATTCTCTTGCGGAGAACCTATTATGATATAGCATTTATGCAATGTTACTGAGGCACGACTGAAGTATGTGAAATTATATCCCTGTGCTGCATGGAGACGGCTGATAAAATCTGGTGTGCTTCTGCTTTTTTAAAATGTGTAGCCTTGGAAAGCTTTGTATCGTTGTCGAGCATTTATCCACTGTATAACAAGGTATGATCAGCTAACACTGCCCTCCTCTTGAGGAGACAGCATTTGGCTTTACTGCATACAAAAAAAAACTAACTTATGATATTTAGATTATAAGTCAGATCTTAAGGCAATCAAACTGACTGACTGCCTTCCATGATTTATAGACTATACCAGTTGTTTAGCCCATTTACTACAAATTGGAAGTTGAGCAATTGATTTTTTAGAATCAATTGCTCAACCACTCAAAATGTTTTCCTACAATTTATTTCTTAAACTTGCCGCTGATGGGCTTCCTTCCTACGATGACAAAAACTTCATGATACATCTGTCCACATTTTAGCATCACTATGAAGTTTAAAGTTCTGGTAATTGCTTATAAAGAAGCACTATTTCAGTGGTAACTTGTTTACATGCTCTGGCTAATATGCTTATCTGCACTGGAGAACATGCTTAGCTGTACCATTAAAAAAAAAAAAAAGCATAAAAGCAAAATTGCTCTTTTGTTAATATAATGCGTAATAGTTTGCTGTGTTGCACTTTTTAAATTAACTTTGTACAGATTTTTTTTTTGCGAGCAGATAGCTAATCAATTAGCTGTCGAGCTGCAGCAGGGAGTGGGTGTTTTGTCTTTTCATGTCTGTGTTGAAAGCAATAGCAGTGCATATTTTTTTAAAAAAGTGTTAATAATTTACTTTTTTCTAAAAGGCTATGGAGGATTGTTTTTTTATGTTTTGCCTCATAAAATGGAGCTCAGCAGAGATTAAATGTTCCTAATTAATTTTTAGCTATAAGCATTTTCTGACAACTCCTTTGGACTTCTCAAGCGTGGTGTTAAACTTTTTTTAGAGATGTTGGAATGCGTTATATATAGTATAAATATACCTCTTATTAAAGATTAATGATATTATCCATATTCACAGCTTTTGCAGATAAAAGTCACCTTTGTTCATTTTCTTAAGTGTCCTGGCTTTACATACAGCTGTCTATTAAAGACTACCTCGTTTCTACCAAAGATGTCTTCGTGCCAGTACCAGTGTGTGCTCAGAGTATTTTTAATTAGCCTGAATATCATATAGACTGAAAGTTTTGGTTTTGTTGTTCATCATGTAAACCTGCTCTTATTTGTCCAATTGCCCAAGCCATTAATACACCAAATGACGCTACAACAAGCTTTCTGGTGTTAATCCCACAAAGTGACTAAGAGTAGGCAAAGAAACATTGCAGATTGCAATACAGAAGTCTTTGAGAGGTTTTACTTTATCCTCAAAAATTTAATTATTAATTTAAGTGTAATGTAGATATTGGCAGATAAAAGTCTTAACTTTATGTAATTAAACTTGCACACAGTTCAATTAAGCCCTGCTTTTTAGTGCAGCAAAGTGATACTGCATGTCATCCCTATTAGCCTAAATGTTTTGATTAGTGCTGTGATTGTGTCTAAATGAAATTACTCTCTGTGTTCTGGACAATTCAGTTTCCTCAGTCTCCTTTGACATGACGAGATGCGTTTCTGAGGAGAACCTCTTAATTCTCAGTCTATCTCTACAGTTTTCAATAAATTACCGCTCCTGCATGCTGAGCAGTTTGCTGAAATGCTACATTAGTTAGCATGTTTTTTTTTTTTTTTAAATGTTTTGATATGACTAACCTATCAAAAAATTCTAGTGCTGTTGTAGTTAATAGTGTGCAGATAGAATCACAAAAGTTTGCTGTCCTGCTTGGAGATTTTCTTTGAACTTTAAAAAAAAAAATTGTGTTTTTACTGCTCTCTGTAAAAGCGTTTTCTGAGGAGCAGCATCTGACAGGCCGGACTAGAAGCTGCACACATCAAAATAATCTTTCGCTATGAACATCATTATAAATGCTGAAATTTTACATTTCATGGGGAAAGAAAAATTTAGATCCACAAAATAGCTTGTGCACGTTACAATACATTTAGCCACACACAAAAATACGCTAGAATGTTAAAGAATTGCACAAATTTGAGCTTCACCACAAAGTGAAACGAGTATCAGGAGTTTAGACAGGAACTCTGTTATGGATCATTTAATGTCTTAATCAGACCCTCCTATGACAAAGTATCATTAGATCGCCGAGTTTGACCTTGACCTGTTTTTGACGTTGATTTTACTCCCAGCTACCATTAAACCACAGGTTCTTGTCAACTTGCCTCCAAAACACTTCCATATATGGCAGACCATTTTTGATTAAATACTATCCAAACAAATTCCATATTTAAAAAAAAAAGTCAATTTATATTCTTGCATGTAGAAATAGTAAATAAGACTCATATTGAGTGCATTTAAAATAAAGTATATACAAGGTGAAGGTGTTGGGCTAAGAATGCTGGCATGGTCTGTTAAGTCATTTTAGCTAAAAAACAATGTATTTGTTAAATTAGTTTAACTAAAATCAGATGCTGTCACCTCAGGAACAATATAAACTCAGTGTGGTATAAAATGTATCTGATTCTGTTGGTGCTCCCTGTACACATCATGTGGGTTTGCCTTTTTCCTTCTGGAATTTTGATTATTACTTTGTTTATAAGTTTAGGTTTTTCTTTTGTTTTTTTTAATCAATGTCTATTGTGCCATTTTATT